AACTCGAAAAAAAAAAAAAAAAAAAAAAAGAAAGTGATAATGAGAGGTCTCACCTTATGTTCTAGCATGTAACATATATATAGCATTTAATTGAACGGATTACCTTTTCACTTGGGCATCTATCGATCTACTTTAGGCCGGTCGATACTGGGATACATGGGTCGACACTAGGTTCACCTCACTGGTGCCTTGCGGTCCGCCTGAGTGGGTCGACACCCCCTCGACCCGTTCGACCGTGCATATTGACAATCGACCCGACCCTTAACGGCCCTTAATATCGGCCAAGGGTCATTGGTTTATGTGTTCTACCCTTCGGGCCATGGGTCTATGTGCTCTACCCTCGGGCCGTGGGTCTATGTGTTCTACCCTTGAGGCCAATGGTCTATGTATTTTCTACTTTTTGGGTCATGGGTCTATGTATGTTCTACCCTTTAGGCCAATGATCTACGTATGTTCTACACTTTGGGTCATGGGTCTATGTATGTTATACCCTTTAGGCCAATGGTCTATGTTCTACCCTTTAGGTCAATGGTCCATGTTTTCGACCTTATGAGCCGGTCGATTATCCGGACCTGGTTCAATCCCATGGTCCCTTCGACCCCAATACTATGGGTCCTTATCCTGTTGAGTCGAGCCGATACTAATATCCTTATCAGATACCCAAGTGTAATGCTTTATGTTTCTGGTACCCATATTTCAATTTAATCAGTTTTAATTACTAGTGTTTCCTAAATCAATTACATATTGTATAAATGGTAAAAATTAGATTGAATACTAACGGCTAGTACCTTCCACCACCTAAAATCAATCACATTTGATCAAATTTGTTGAAAATTCGATTAAAACTAATGGTTATGGTTCTTGCTTCCGGACAGTAGCAAATTTAAATAACTTATATACTATCTTTAGAGTTCCAAGATAATCTAATTTGTTGAAAACATTTGTTCGAACTTGATAAAAATTCAACTGATACTAATTGTTTGTGCTTTTAAATGATGGCAGATTTTAACAAATTATGTTCTGTGTTGAGAGTTTTAAAATAATATATAACTTGTTGAAATTTGTTAGTTGAGGCTATTAAATTAAGCGAATCCAGCGGCTCGGCTCGATAAGATTTGTTAAGGACTGATCAGGTGTCTCATATTTATCGGGAAGGTAATTCTCGGCCGATAAGTTAGCCTCCCTAGCTTCGGAGGTTCCGGTTGGTTATCATCGCCTTTAGGACCCGCCGTGGGAAGTTGGTCATTGGCTAGAACATGATATCATCGGCGTGGCTTACCCACGTCAAGTGGCGCGTTAGGACCCCCTAGGCTTCGGCCTCTTTCTTTGTACCAAAAAAAAAAAAAAATTATATAATTTTATATGGTTCGGCTGGTTAATGTTCGTACTCGGCTTGTTAGTAATGATTAACGAGTCGAGTTCGAATTTGTTTTCAGACTCATTTATTTAACGAGCCGAGCTCAGTTCGGTTCAGATCGGCACGTTTACATGTGTGGGTAAATTTCAACTACATTGAATAAAAACAATTAATTTTCAGTTAATTTTCAAAACATTGATAAAATATTTATGAAGTTGAATTTTCGAAAAAAAAAAAAGAAAGAAATTATAGTTCACCTATTAAAATTAAAACTTTTCCAAGCTAAAATAAAGTATGTACCAAACAAAAGTCTCCTCATTTGGTCATTTTTACGTTTTGCCTCAAAGAAGCACACTGCTTAACTCTACATGAGATTTAGGAGAAAAGAAAAAATCACTCTTTGAAGAGATCTCTTAACCGGCAGCCGGATTCCAAATCCGCTATTCATTGCGATTATCAACATCTTTTTGCACTCACAGTGAATAGCTAATATGAATGTAAGTTCTCACTCCTCGTGTTTCTTGTGATATGTTCTGATTGTGCGAATCGTAAATTCACGGATCCAATATATAATATCCATTTTTCGCTTAATTGTGTTGAAAAATCAGCTATATTTTTCCTTTTCTTTTGATTGATTGATCGGTTTGATGTAGAGGAGAGTTGTGTTAATGGAGGTTGAGCCTCCGAGCGTGGTGAGGTATCTGATCGGAGCAGCTATAATGATGCTTGGAGTGGTGTTGCCAGTTGGGTATATGATGTTTCGCAACAAAAGAGGACCTTCTTCTTCGTCCTCGTACTCCAAACTGACGTAGGTCTGCCTTTCTCATTTTTATTTTATTTTTTAAAATTAATGAAGACAACATTTCTGTTACCCGGGTATTGATTTGCTTCTGATCTGTGGGTTTTGTTTGTTTTGTGTGGACGATTACCTGTATCAAAATATGAAAATGTAGGGTGAGTATATATATTTTTTTTCAATCTTTTAAGTTCATTATATTATAAGCAGTGTAAGTTTATATTTCCAGCTGCGTGATTATGCTTTTACTGGGTTGGCAGTTCAAGTAAAGTCTCAGCTTATCTGAGAGGCTTTTGTATTGGGTTTGTGTTTGTTGTGTAGGATTCTACTGATGACTGTTTTTGCTGAGTCTTGTTGTTTAGCAAAAGACTTGAGCTTGATTAGGCAATCATCATTTTTACTTTCTGTTTATATATATTTGTCTGCAGGAACAAGGTTCTGATATAGGGATTTCAAGAAGGTCAATGTCTGATATTTGATCTCATAGGCAAGGTGCTGTGCTTCAAAGGAACAAGTAGAGGAAGAAGATTTTGAATTTTCTTGTATTCTTGGATAAAATACAGATGAACTTGTCACTATTTCATAGTGATTTATGACCCGTGACATTGAAGCTGTTTACAGTACTTGTATGATTTTAAACATAAGGTCATTGTCTTGCAAGTGTTATGTCATCATGTTTTTTCTGTTTGTGAAAAGTACTTGCAAACTTGTGCCATCAAGTTGGTAGTTGTTTGTTGCCTGATTATAGTGTTAACCAATTTTGCAGTGAAGTTTTGCATCTATATGGAATTGTACTGTATTTAATAGCTACTGTAGGTGACTATAAATTATTCATATATGAGTTTTTCATTTCATTATTTACACTTAGAATTGTGGCATAATCATGTCACTTGGTTGGGAACATGCATTCAAACATGGTGGAAAGTGGAAAACCTTATCCGATTGCTTGTATCCGACTTGCATTCTATGCGAATCTTGGAGAATTTCTTTGTATTTGGGATAACTAAGTAGAATGTGAAGACATGATGATGATGATCTTCTAGCCAGTAGTGCCAATACTTAATTAGTCCCTACCTCGACAATATAATAAAAATAAAATTCTACTATTATAATTATTCTTTATTTTTTTATCTTTTTTCTTTTTCATCGTGGTAATGGGATATCTGTGAATAGTTCAGGAACTCTGTGTGAAGGATTAAAAATATTTTGATTCTATGATCCCCTTGAAGTGTGTCACATGCTCTAATACTGACATGCTGTGGCATTGGAAAGTTTGTGTGACTATCATTATAAATGATTTGATATCTCAATATCTTGTTAGACATTTTGGCAGGTAACTCATTATTTAAGTCGTTATTCTCGGGTTTCTCTTCCCCTTTGTTGTTTGCACTGGAGATGCCAACCTATTATTCTTCTGTCCTTACTTTAACTCAGTATTGTGAAAATGTTGATTAGGGAATTTCTTTGATGTATTGAAAAATATTTTTATAACATTTTATGGAAATGGAGTGAAAAGTGTTATGTTTGGTTAGGTGATTGAAGTTAGTAGTTGAGAAACTTTGTTTATAAAAGCAAATCAGATGTGCCATAAGCATTTGAATGAGAGGTTTTCTGATTCATTCATTTGTATATGGNCTGAACAATTCACTGTGCACTTCATCTTCAGATCAAGATCTTTCAATCCAGATGCATTTTACCCCTAAAGAACGAGAATGAAGAGTTGGAATTTCCTGTCATATAATCTAGATAACGAATAGGCGATTCTTATACTTGGTGGGTAATCATCCCAATAAACCAGAATGGAGTGTGATAAAGTTGTCAAAAAAATATGCAAAATTGCACGTCAGCAAAGGAAAACAACCGAGCCCTTCTATAATTTGTTCCACCTTCCCAGTGCCTCCCCCATGCGGACCCTATCGCCTTTCTTGACACAAAACCTAAATTCAGACTGTCCTTTGTCTGCAGATATTGGAGCTTGAAAAACTAACACCACAGTTGATCCCATGTTGAAAGCAGCTAGCTGCAAGGAATTGATATTTAAGTGTCAAATAGTACATTCAAAAATCAGGTAAAAAAATAAATAATAAATAAACACTACTTGCTACCATCATTCTGCATTATTTAAATTAACAGCAAATATACACGACGGTTTTGTGAAGTTCCTTCTAGAAAATATACACATGAAATACTCATTTTTGGAGAATGAATCAAATTTGCACCTCATCTCCCTTCTTAAGCAGCATGCCAATGCCTTGAGGTTCGTATACTTTTTCGTCAGGGGACTCTGAACGTAGCAACTTCTTCCGGGGATTGTTTGTAATCAGATTTTGTTCAATAAAAAGCTGTCAATGTGAATAGAAAGGAATTTTGTTTTTAAGGCAAGCGTGTATTATGTGTGATCCTAGATGAATTCATGAACAACTTCAACAAGCAAAGCAACAGCATCAAGAACCAGAAAAACACAAAATTTGGAAAGAACTATAATTTTGTTCTTGTTTGTTGGGGTATCACTTGCCTTGAGTATTAATCCCCTGCCAGAAGCACCCAATGCCATTTCAGTATATGCTAATTTAAAACCTAACTTTGTTATATCTGTTCTCTATACGAGTGGTTATGCTAGTACGTAAAGTTCCCAACAAGATAAAAAAATATCTTTACTCATAAATAAAGCACTAATAACATAATTGCACTACTTTTTATTTTTTATTTTTTATTTTTTTTATTATTTTCCTTTATATAGACTACTACTGTACTACATGTGTTTCCGTGGGCCAAGTATACAATGATATTCGTAATTTACAAAATTGTTTGCGGCATTCAGTGGCTGTAAATGTAGGACTTACCTCATGGTACCCTACTGTATCAATTAAATCCCTAGCATGTAGATTCTAAAGAATTGAATTCAAGAAATGCATCATCCTTTCATGAAAGTGCCTCCTTTTATCTATAACTATATTTGTTTCATTTTTCTCGAAAGTGTTCCCAATAAAACATGTTCAATATCCATATTTGTGACAGACAAGGACCTAAAAGATTAGAAAAGTGAAGGCAATTATTAATCAACCTTAATGGAACCAATATTTGTTGCTCCTATGGCAGCCAGAGCCATATAGCCTTCTCGCCATCTACCTTCAAGCACCACCTATATATACATGATTATTTGTCAGCAGTCTGTAGACAAACAGTATAAACATAAAATAAACATAAGAGGACAGTCTAACAGCTTAATATCGGTAGGAATAACTCTGGATTGGGATTCAGATAATAAATGGTGGATAATATGCTATTAAATTCTTGATTTAGTGATGTTGAAGTACTTAAAATATACCTTATTTCTCATAAATAAGACTGTTGAGTAGGAAGAAGAACTGTGTCTTATGTTTCTACCATGAAGCCTAGTAACAATAAGGATTCGTATGTAACCGATCAAAAAAAAGGTTTCGTATGTAACAGCAACCATTAACTGTAAAACCATGAGTTTGACCAAGTTCCAAGGCAGTGGCAAGTGAGCTTCAATGGACTGGATAAAGCATGATTAAGAATAAAAAAAAAATGGGAAACAAGCTGAAAATACATGTTTACGATATACGCGCTTTGAGCTTTATTCTTGAATTATATTAATTGAGACTTTTCTAGGAGTTCGTCTTCTTTCGCACTTTATGGTAAGGTCTTACATAGACCTTAAATATTGGTGGAGACGTTAAATATTGGTGGTTGATGCTATAATTTTTTACAGATTTCCAAAGGGTGGAACTTATTATTAGCTCTGCTGGTAACTAAGGTCAACCGTAAAAACTGACTGGGAGGTCTAAAGATGAGTTAGAAACTTGTTTTTCATCTGTGTAGATCTAATCAGTTGATGAATATCAGAACAAGAATCTTGTTCCATATATTTATGCTCAGGTCCTTGGTCCAGTTCAGCAAAAACTCATAAAGTTGTTTTCTTTCAGGGATAAAAAAAGTGGGATGTGACTTTTTCTAAGTAATGGGGAAGAAGACCAAAACATGCCACTGAAAGACTCTACTGAAACAAAGATGGGCTGTCAAGAACATAGAGGAGGTAGGATGGGCAGTTGGTCAGGTCTAGTATCAATCATACATGGATAGTAGTTGCAGTCGATAAATCGTGAAATGAAAATCACCTTGAAAAACTGATAAAGAACACAAAATATGCAAGGAGAATATTAATGGGCTTTGGATCTGGATTACCCTTTCATTTTCAACATATAAGTTTCTAATAGTTCTTGCTGCGCGCTCATTCACGGGAAATAGATGACCTACAATGAAAATTGGATATAAAATAAAATCATAAGGGATTTGTAATACACAAATAGAGCAAATAAGATGATTAGAGCTGATTATAGAGCATCTATTGCATCAATTGATTAAGAGCGCTTTAATTGTGTTTTCATGTCCATTGAAACAAATTGCAATTTTGCGTGCTTCAGTACATGTAAACCAAGCATTCAGTGCTATATCGATCACAGAGAACACTAGAAGTGAACAGATCAACATAGAGTAACACATGGAAGATGGGCTCTCACTAAAATAAAGAGGTCAAGTGAATCTCATGCTTGTATATGCAGAAGGCATTGGAATAAAATGCTAAATTTTCTCCATGCAAGCCACCTTACAGATACGTAAAAGGCTGAGTGAAAAATTCTATCTTACCTGTAAAATGCCGACGAACAAGAATATTCCAATCCACTGGAGAGTGTATCCGGTGGTAGTCTCCCGGCTTCAGGTAAATTACGCAATAAAAGAGGCCTTTCAATGGACTGCATAAGTATAAATATTAAAGGGTAAATCCAGTAGTCCAAACTACACAAGCCATAGACTACACTTCCCTTCTTTTGTGTATGTTTTGGAAGATTATCAAACTAGTTACTCCTCAATGCATATTTCCACATAATCTTACACTTGCTTTGGAAGTTTTTGAAAATGCAAAGGATCAGTTCTCAGGAGAAATAAATGCACTTTTCCCTTGCAAAATTTAATGTCAACATAGGGACCATTGCCATGGGCATCATGCCTAATGACAACCATGATACAGGCAATCTCTAGCAATTCGTATATACCTTGTTAGATTGGCAACCAATGGGTCAATATGGAAAATTTAATGTTTAACACGAGGCACTTATCAATCAGCAAGTTATATGAACAGAAATGCTACTGCTCAATTTACAGAAGCAATTAATATTTTCGTCTGATGACAATTGCTGCATTGAACTATTTGATACCTACCGGGATGATACACTATCTCTAACTTTAGGAGAAGCAAACGAAATTTTCCACCATGACCTTGGGGTCACTTGTCCCACATTGCTCTCCTCCACCCCACTTTCTTCGTAATTAGCATCTCCAGCAGCACTCATTGGAAGATACGAGTTTGCACCAAGAAGGGAAGAAGCAGGATAAGAAAATCCCTTTACTTGCTCTATCATGGCCCCTGGTCCTTTTAACTCTCCATATCTAAGAACAGTGCCATCTACAGGACTGATCTGTATCGCCGTAAAAATAAAGCAAACAAATCAATGGTCGGGCAAGTTCGGAGATTACAACAGGAAGGATTATAGGGACATAAATATTCAAGAATCCTGTTACCAGTTACCAGACAGTAAGGATCAGAGTCAATAGTCCTTGAGCCTTCTCTCAACGTACGAATGAAAAAATCCTGTAGAGAAGCATATTCTTCTAAAGGTAGTTGTGCTTCTTCTAAATCTGAAACGTACCAGAAAGAGAAGTCCAACGTATTCACTTAATGTTTTTCCAAGGAAATTGTCAAGTAGATTATTTAAAATACTGTAACAGGATATAAAATAAATACAGATAGGAACATACTAGAGTGGAATGCTCGAGCCCATGCTTTATATACATATGGTCGCAGCCAAATGGGAAGTTCCTGGTAAAGGATTATTTAGCACGTTTATGTAATTTCAACTGATCATGTGTTAGCCCATTAGTATGTGGATACACTCACCACACTAGTCAAGGAACCCCACAACCTTGAAATAGAGCGCAATGGTAGCAATCTCAAGAATCTAGCCTATCAACAATGAGAAGTGGGACATGAACCATGTATGAGAAAATAAGTATATTTAATGCCTTCTCGTATTAATTCAATGTGTTTTACCTTGACATCTGGGTGGAACTCTAATTCGACACCTGACGACCTGGCTTCCTCAATCTTTTATCAAATATTTGAGATGATCGCATCACAGACAATAACACAAATATTAGAATGCAAGGAAAAAAATCAAGGAAAAATTATTGGGAAATCTCAAAATAGTAGAAACAACTAAAACATAGTAATAGTAACAAAGAAAACAACCAAGAATGCCGCAAATAACTGTAGAAATATTGCACTAAAACAGTTGTTCTTGGAGCAAACATTCATTCTGTTTCATCCATAAAAAACGACGATGCTGCATATGTGAGCAAACAAGGTTTATATGAAAGTTGAATAAAAAAAAGATGTATAGAGAATTTCAGAAAGATGCAATTCGGAACATAAGACAACCCTTCCGTTTCCTCCACATTCATTCTGCAGCATATACCTACCTTATTTTCTTCTTTTATTGTATCACAGTATCATAATGATTCCCTAAGAAATCTACCAAGCAAATATCTGAAATCCATTGCTCCAATCAGGTCTAGAAGAATAAAATGTTTGTCTCACATATTAAAGAAATGGAACCGACATACACAAGCTTGCAATTCTAGTACTACATAATGTACCATTTAAAAATATCAGCAAGTATTTTCTCTATTTAATGCTGCCGAATATCAAAGTTTATACACTACCACAACCTTCTTATCATCATATAATCGACGGGCATGAAGAGCACCAAGCATAAGTATTGTTGCCACAGTTGCACCAGGCACTAAGAAATAACTACCTGCACAAAAGTTAAAACACTAGCTCATATAAAGTAACTGAATTAACTTTACTCCTGGCCAGGGGACACAACCTCTTACCATGTAGAAATATAGAAAGAGAACCATAGTGTTCAGGTCCAAAAGCAATTTAGAAAAATCTATGTTCCAAACATTATTACTTGCTGAACTACAAATTGACGTTATATCCCGGCATTCCCAACCGTGACGTAAAAGGGATTTCGAGCATAGATTTCAGTTGTGACTTTTTCAATTCCTTTTGTTTGATCTTCTCTTGAAAACCTAGCACAAAATAGTTTCCTCTTTTCCTCTCCTCATCCACAAATTCAATATCCATTAAATTTTAGGCTCTCTCTCTCTCGCACACACACTCGCACAAGCATAAGCAGTGGAGTAGCTATTGATCAGGACAAATTCCATATAGTTATCTACACACAAACTAGAGGAAAAAATAAATAATATGAAAGTAAAGTTGGAGCAAATTTGCGACTCCATTCTTCTTTATTTCACACGTTTCCTTCCTTTTTTTCCTCAGGTAAAAATAGAAGTTTCAGGTCGTACCCTGCGAGTTTGTGCTGCTGCTACTGCCGCCGCCAAGTGAAGCTCGCGGCTGAGCAGGTCGTACCTTGCGGAGGAATGTAGTGAATTCAGCACGCCATCGCCGGTGAAAACATCCATTGTACTTGACAACTGAGAGACTTCGCGAAGTCCTGCACCTCATTATTATTATTATCTCCTTCAACACTGATATTTCTCGTACCTCTGTATTTGTAGCAACTATGGGCCGGCCAGGTTATTATGGGCCATTTTTCGTGTAGCGCAATTAATCAAGGTGAGTGATTTATTTGAATGTTTTGTCTTATTGGAATTTTTAAAATAACTAATAATATTTATTGTGGACTACCCGTTCATAAATTGAGCAAACTTCGGTGTGTTTGTAAATAAAATACTTTAATTTATAAGTTTAGCTCCACTTTAAATCAACCACATCATCCTCAATATTTGATATAATTAAATAATATTAATTAATTTTTTTACACATCACATCAACTTTAATTCAATATTTATTCACTTACATAATTTTAACTACACATAACTTCATATCATCTTTGCCTTACTTTTACATCAAATTAATTTTGATTATTTTACTATAAATATTATTTTAATATAAACTCAAAATCTCACTAATAATTAACCGTACCACTTTTTTTTTAAAAAAAAAAATAACTATGACAAACTAAAAAAACACGTTTTGAGCAGATATTTTTTTATGATAGCACGCCCTTAAAATACTTCAAACTTAAAAGTTATGTTTTTTTTTTTCTTTTCAAAACGATAGAAATTTTATAAATAACACACATAATTACATATAGATAACAACCAAATAGCTGAAAAGAGCATCTATAGAGCCGAAACTAGTGAAATGACAAATTCGGAGGTTGCCTAGAACCTACACTAGAACAACACACATGACACCCACCTAAACAAACTAAAACTTCCACAAATAGAGAAACACAATCCCCCATAAATGGAGAAACACACACACAACAAGAGAAAAACACAAAACCACAAAACCTCCCCGGAACTGAAGTCAGTCCACGACCCGAATACAACCGAAGAAACCGACAACCTACCAAGAGGCCACCACTTAAACTACACCTGGAGACCCGTATCAAACTCCACCCCCAACACAAACTGAAGGCTGCAACCCCGCGCACAACGCACAAAAGAGCTGGGAGCCGCCACCGGGGGCCCAACCCAACCCAGAAACATGTTAAGAAGAAGAACATGGGGTAAGCCGAATACCTGTCTTGGCCCTGGCCGTCGTCGAAAAGCAACCGAAGGGCCTACCTGGAGAAGGCAAAGCGCCGCAGCGATGGGGACTGACGACCCACCAGGTGACTCACCATCGACCCAGGAGCTGAATAGGTGATCGTCTCGTTGCGTTACATTTATAATATAAACTAATTTGATATAGACAATAATAACTTATTTTATGTAATAGAAAAATATAAAAATAATGATTAGTAATTATAAATACATAATACATGAATAGTTAACTATATTGAGGAATGTGTACTAATAGTTTAATTTAATTTACCATTGTGTTTTGAATATTCAATATTTGTGGATGAATAAATGATCTTGGATATATAGCCAATTTCACCATAATCGATAACATATGGCCATTTCATTGACACATACAATTCCCAGTTTATAAGTATATGTACCCTTTTTAATTACTAAAACGTTTGAAAAAACATTGTCATCCGAACTATCGCGTTTTACTGTATAAACTATTTGTTGATGCTAAAAAATGTCAGCAATAGGGGGTGAACTGTACACTAAATTGTGTACTCCGTTCAATCTACACGAATAGATTTGTTCTGGAAATATGGGTTGAATACCTGTTCTATTTATGACTTTTGGAGGAGAATACATGAATTAAATTGTACAAAAAATAAGAAAATATTAGTAATAATGCCTCTCAGAGAATACAAATGTTTTTTCTCTTTTTCCAGAATGAATGTCTCTCTTTTCCTTTTTTCTCCATCATTGAGGCTTTGTACTAGTTTATTATGTAGTACACTTGTACTACATGTACTATTCACTATATGTAGTACAAGTTACTATTCACTATATGTAATACAAATGATATTTTATTTGTTGTGCTACTCGGTCCGGACTGCCTGTTCGTATTCTCTATTTATTTATTAACTGTAGCCAAATCGGGAACCAACACTATTATTATTATTTTTTTTACAAACAACCATACGAACTACGCGTTTTTTCTTCTTGCACACTAAATCGGATATAAAGTAATTTTAACTAAAAAAAAACTATTTTTTAGTGTATTTAAGGAATTTCATATATTTTTTTAAAAAAAAATAAGAAAAATGAAGAAAATTATGTCTCGAGGAACGAGCACTAGGAGAAAATTTTGAAATATTGTCGGAAGTCCTTTAACTCCACGCAACAACTAGTCTGGCGTTCTCCTTCAACCGCGACAACCACCAGTGACCGGAGAGTCCATCACCGGCGACCGTTTAGAAACCATCCGACAAGAAATTTTAGTCGTCTCCCTCGCAACAGCAACCACCGACGCACAATCCTCAATCATCATCCACGCATTCCTTCACCGACGTTCTTGTTCAGTCCACACAACTTTACTTGTCGTGGAGACTTTTTATGTCTGTCCAACCAAGTTTTTGCCACCGGTCGTTCGTCTATGTCCGACGCCGCTCAGATTTCGCTCTTCGAGCAACAGGAAACCAGTCGAGTTTCACACGTCTGCCATGTGCAGCACAATGCTCTTCCAGAGTTTCGATCATTCATCACACAACTCGGCCCGCCTACAACTAGTCGTCTAAGCATCTAGTCAACGCCACCAACCAGCACTTACAGGCATTGTTATCACAAAGTAAGGGCTTCTGATTAATATGAAGATCAAATCCTCATGTACCTGATCGCACTTGTCAAATTTTAAGTTATTATTTTGCAGTTGTTCCCCCTCACTGGATAATAAATATTAGGGCATGTTTTTTTTTTGGTACAGAAAAGAAGCTAACGCCTAGCGGTTGCACACTGCCCGCGAATAGGCTACGCCAATAAGATCATGGTGAAGCCAATGACGAACTCCATCTGGCGGGGCATGCAAAGGATGATATCCCATCGGAGCATCTGTAGCGAAGGAAGCTAGATGATCAGCTGCAAAATTCGCTTCACGGAAGACATGTGTCACTTTGACATTCCAAGATCGACCTAATAATTCTCTGATACCCAACACAAAGCTTGAGTGCACCCCTGGCACACCTTCGAGGGATCTGGAGAAACCGACGACACTCTCATTGTCTACTTCTGCTTCCACTTGCCGAAACCCTAAATCCCAAGCCAACGTAAGGCCTCGAAACAGCCCCCATAACTCCGTCGCCATGATCGAGCAAACTCCGATCTTCATTATAAACCCCCCTCGCCATTGGCCGAACTCATCTCGTATGAGACCTCCCGCAGTCCCCATACATGTCGTCTCATTAAGTGATCCATCCGAGTTGACTTTAATCCAACCCGCCGGAGGTTTAACCCAACTTATCCACCTCTCCATTCTTATCCAGCCCGATCCCCCAAGTTTTCTGTCACTTTCGAGAAACTTCATAATTCCCTCAACATAGGCAGAAATTTCATACAAAGCACCTGGTTTTGTCCGTCTTTTATCTTGAAAAAGAAATTCATTCTGCCACGTCCAAAGCTTCCACACAGCTACCCCAAAAATGCAGGTCCAATTGTTGATATCAGCGTGTGAAGGTTGCAGCAGATTCGAGCTAAGCCACGACAGCAGAGGGAGAGTGAAGAAATCACCTTGACTCGGGCTGGATAGCAGGCTTCTCCAAACTTCGACGGCCAGCGGGCAGTCCCTCACAGCGTGTAGAGCCGTCTCCTCAGCTTGTCCGCACTTCCCGCAGAGGCTATTTGCCGTCAAGTGAAGCCTACATCTTTCCACATTAGTGAGCAGCCTGTTTTTCGAAAGTAGCCAAAGGAAAATCCTTATGCATTGGGGACCCGGCCATTGCCATATTGCACGCCATAGTGGCTTCAAATTTAAACCTAGAACCGAGGTGACAGGCGCAGCTAACATATCATAAGCGGATTTCGTCGTAAATTTTCCTGTGGACGAAAGGCCCCAGAAAAGACGATCTCGACCAAGCTCAACTCTCGACGTCGGGGTCGCTGCAATTTGAAGTAATATGGATGCCAGAAACAAGTGGGCAAACAAGTGCCAATGCCATACGCCCATCTCCGAGACGAAAAACGTGACGTTCCTGTCGATAAATTCCGAAGGGATCTCCCAGTAGCTACATGCATTAAGGTATTGCCGGTCGGCAGCCACCTATCGGTCCAAAATTTCGTCGTGGTGTCATCACACACGGCCCACCGGGCCCCACCAACTACATGCTTCCAGACTTTTCCTATGGGCTGAAAGATTACCGAAGACGGTCGCCGGTGAGCAGTAAGGTCCTGGAAAGGATTATCACCATACTTCGCTTTCCAAACTTCAACCCACAAAGCCCGGTTATTAGTGAGGAACTTCCACCCCATTTTCATGAGCATGGCCTCGTTCATCGTCCGTTGGTGTTTTAATCCAAGACCACCAAATTCACGAGCTGTGCAAACCTCCTCCCACCGAACTAGGCTAAGTTTTCGTTTATCGCGTGTGCTTCCCCAAACAAATCTTCTACAACGCTTTTCCAACCCTTCACAAATGGAGTTAGGCAAACGGATGGATTGCATTGTATAATATGGAAGAGCGCTAACTATAGCTTGAGAAAGAACCACTCGACCAGCCAAGGATAAGGACGCTGCTTTCCATCCCGATAACCTATTATCCGCTCTCTCAATTAGCCGCTCATACATTCGGCCCGTGGACCGTCCATGGATGAGAGGGACGCCCAAATAATAGCCGAGATCATCCACCATTGTGTAACCCACTAACCGAGAGGTTTCGTTTCTCTTGTGTGCTAACATTTTTCGAGAAAAAAATGTTCGTGTTGGGTTCGCTCACGCGCAGGCCTGAAACGGTGCAAAAGTTTGCGAGCACCTCCTTTAATATATTTACCTGCTGGGTCGATGCCTCTAGAAAGAGAAGTAAGTCATATGCGAAAAGCAAATAAGGGATTTTCACTCTGCCGCGTCCTACCGTCATTGGTTTCCACTGCCCGTTTCCCACCGCACGTTGAATGGCATGTGCCAGTCGTTCAATACAAAGGACGAACAAATATGGGGATATAGGGTCACCTTGTCGGATCCCCCTCGACGGATGAAACTCTTCACTTGGAACACCATTCCAAAGGATTTGCATAGATGATGTAGTAACGCATTTCATAATGGCAGACACAAAACTCGGTGGAAACCCCGCCAAGAGAAGAGAATCCTCAACAAAATCCCACCTGAGAAAATCATAGGCCTTCTCTAGGTCGACTTTCACCACCATAAACCCCTTATGTCCAGTTCTATTACGCATGGAATGTATTAACTCTTGAGCCACAATGATGTTATCATGGATTTGTCGGCCTGAGATAAAGCTGGATTGGGCCGGCCCAATTAATCCAGGAAGTATAGGCTTTATCCTGTTCGTGAGGACCTTCGTCAGCAACTTGTACACCACATTCAGAAGACTGATCGGTCGAAATTGTTTGATCGTTTCGGGTTGCTCAATTTTGGGGATGAGAACTATAAGGGTTTTATTGATCTGCGCCGGCATATCTCCACCATTACATATCGACCTAATCAGAGTGCAAGCCGATTGTCCAACACACTCTCATTGGCTCTTGAAGAAAATGGCATGGAGTCCATCCAAACCCGGTGCTTTCAAAGGGCCCATATCATCGAGGGCCCGTAAAATCTCGCCATCAGTGACATCCCTCTGAAGCAAGGCCGAAGCCTGAGAACTCAACGGGGGAAACCTTAGACCCATGTCCCTTGGTAACGGGGCCATCTGGCCCGCCACGTATATAGATTTGAAATAGGAAACAACCATGCGTTGCAGGGCCACCTGGTCCGTCACCAAATTATTGTCATTTTCCTTCAGTGCCACAATTTTATTATGTCGCCGTCGGGCTTGACTTGTCTATGGTAGAAGGCGGTATTGCGATCGCCAAACAGAGCCCAATCTCGCCTCGACTTTTGTATCATCAGGACTTCTTCTTGAAGAAGAGTTTCTTCCAGCTCGATCGTCAAAGTTTTCTCTAAATGGGCTAGCCGAGTGGATTGGTGGGTCTGACGCGAGCGTTAGATCCCCCCGATGCGTGCAAGAAGAGTTTTATTTTTTTCAAAAATGTTGCCAAAAACTCTAAAGTTCCAGTCCCTAGCCGCAGTGGAAAAAGAGGAGGATGCTTCGACAAAGCTTCTACCTTCCGACCAGCAATCAGAAACCACATCCTTAAACCCTTCATGCAATAGCCACGGGGCTAGGAACCGAAAGGGCTTAGCCTCCCGGGGAGTTTGACGACCACCCTTACAACGAATCAACAAAGGATTGTGGTCCGACTACGCGGTATATGCAGTACAAAAGCATCGGGGAATCTATCGAGCCAGGCCTCATTGCATAAGAACCTGTCCAATCTCTTGGATAAGTCCCGTCTACACCACGTGAATTTAATGCCATCAGTTTTGACCTCATGCAGTTCGTGCTCAAAGACCCAATCAGAGAAGGCATCGCATGCTCGTCCTCCATTAGGGGAACCTCCCGAACTTTTCGATGGTCGTAGGATACAGTTGAAGTCACCCCCAATAAGCCAGGGGTCATTAATGGACGAGGCCAGATTATGTAATAGTCGCCACAGAACACGTCTCCCACGCGGGTTTGGTGAAGCATAAATGAAGGTTAAAAAAGAAACCTGTCCATCAATCGAAACCCGTAGATGAACGAACTGCTTGTGGCACCGTAGGATCGTCACCTCCGCTCTCTCCCTTCATAACACCCAAATTCTGCCCGAGAAACCAGAAGCCTCCACGCGGAAGGAATGGGCAAAACCAGACTGACGAATGAACACATCTGCCTTAGCTCCACTGATCTTTGGTTCGAATAAAGCCACCACATCCGGCTAGTGTTGATTAACGATTGTAGAGAAGGCTCCTCTATATCTGCTAGAACCTGCCCCTTGTACATTCCAGGCTAAATAATTCATAAAAACAATCAGAAAAATGAAGAAAGTCCGAAGCATCGGGACGAGCATGGGTTACTAGGACCCGGTGCCGGCGTGGTAACCTCCTCTTTCCCCTGTAGGGTCTGGTCGGCTATGTCCATACTTGAATCATCGGGCGGCTCCTCCTGGAGAGTGGTGTTTCCACCAGAAGTGGCATAAGGGTCCACTACCATATCTTGCTCCTCCGAAGATGAGTTAATAAATGTTACGGCTTGGTGACGTGTGGGATCAAGTGCACTCTTGACAGGGACCATGAACAACTCATCTTGAACTATTCTCTTGCCTCCGTGTTGTGTCAGCCCTTCTCTCTTCTGGGTGTTTACCCGGCCCCCGGGGTCACGGACTCCTCCTCGGTAGGTAGCGGACCTTTACTAGTTCCTTCTCCGGCTGCACCAGATGTCGGACACAAAGCCGCCGCATGACCATACATGCCGCAAGTAAAACAGATTTCTGGCAGGCTTTCGTATTCCACTCTTTGGGTCCTGCCTCCGATCTCAAAATCAGAGCAAAGTGGTTGGGAGAGGTCTAGGAGACAGGCTAGCCGTGCGTACTTCCCCCGAATTTTTTCTGCAGTTTGATAGTCAATTTTCAAAACTTTTCCCACAATTTGACCAATGGAACGGAAGACCTTCGTGTTATAGAATTGCACCGGGAGGCCAGCAAACGAACCCGGGCCACTACAGATCGAGTTCGAAGGTCGGTCGCGTCAAAATCCACCGTCCACGGTTGGACATGGAGATAGTGGTCAGCAATCACCCACGGCCCATCGGTTAAAGCCCTCATTTTTTCCTCATGTGTATCAAAACGGACTACATAGAATCCGTTTTCCAGGTCCATCATAGGGTGCCCTTTAATCGAAGGCCACAAAGTCGACAGACGGTTGTGCATCGTCAAGGGGGAGACCGAGTGTCCAAGCAGCCGCACCACCACCGTGTAATTCCACCCCTTCAGCAATGATTGCCAAAAGGGGTCTGAGAACAAAATTTTTCCAGATCATCCATGCACGACCACCGTTATGTCGTCGGCCATTGTTTCCTCTCCTTCATCCGTTGGCGACACCGATACATGTGGTCTGTTCTTATTCAGTAAGTCCCGGAAGCTCAACTTTGGTGAGACAAGGCGAGGTGGGGTAGCGGTAGGTGGGCGAGAGGGCGCATCCACTTGCTGAGCGAAGGCTCCAGCCGATCGACGTTTTTTTGAGGCTCCCAAAAAGGAAGAGTTCTGTGAGTATATCTCGTTGGGTCTGGGGTACTCATTGTTGATCGAATCAGGGGGGTCCAGCCGGGGATCAGCCGGCAGTTTGACGGCAGTGTCCGGCATGCTCATTAGGGTTCTTTTAGGGCATGTTTGAATACAAATATATCCTCTCTAATTGATTTTTTTTTATTAATTGTGGTTAATTTTGAAAAGATGGTATATTAGTTGTTAATGTGATTTTGAGTTTATATTAAAATAATATTTAAAATAAAATAGTTAAAGTTAATTTGATGCAAAATAGGAGAGAGATGATGTGAAATTATGATTAGTTAAAATTATGTGAGTTGATGAATAGTGAATTGAAATTGATATGATATGTAAGAATGATTGATTGATATTAATTAATTATATTGATAATATTGAGGATAGAGGGTTGAGTTAAATTTTGAGTATGAATTGAATATAAATTGAATAATTTTATAAACAAACACCTTCCTTCTAGAAGTTTTATTACTGCTTAATAAATATTATAATTTAAACCTGTGATTGAGTATTTAAATAGAGGAAGTTAAGGTTTTTGAAATTTGAAAGCAATGGCACCTATTTTATGCGTGGACGGCTAAAACATCTTCTTAACTACTATTGGGTACACCATGCGTGAGAAATATGGCTAAAAATTTCAGCTAATTTTTTTTTTTTAATCAACACCTCACCAAACTCTCACCATCAATGAAATAATAAAAATTTAAAATACTTACTTGTTTAAGGAGAAAAATATTAAGTAAGATTATTACATGCCGTACACAAAATGGCGTGATTTAGCTATACAAAAATCTGATTTTTATTTTTATTTTTTTTTATAAGTCATTAAGGGAAATGCCGTGTGATATACAATGCCACGAAGGTAACTGATCAAAATATAATGATATATCATTAGTGAGGATAATAGTAATTGGGCATAAATGATCATTAGGTGAGACGTCATAATAAAATATTTGCCATTAAAGCAGTTTCAGCCATTTGCATGCACATACCTACCAAGTTGCTTGGAGAAGAAATGTTAAATTAAATTTCCTAGCATATACTAAGACCGATATCAAGTGTTAAGTTGGCATTATTTGGAGCATGTGACTTCAATAATGGGTCTAAGATGACACCAAATTAACTATAAAAAAATCTTATTTGGTTTGATTAATCACCCCTAATAAATTAGCAAGGTTAATGATTCTTGTGTAAAATAGAAAAATCAAATGCATAAGGTACTAATAAATTAGCAAGGTTAATGAATCTTGTGTAAAATAGAAAAATCAAATGCATAAGGTACTAATGAATTAGCAAGGTAAATGTAAGGATCTGAAGGCAACGTGTCAATACCAGAATCAATGTGTGAGGAATAAAAATTAAGTAAAACTCTCCCTTATTATATAAGTGGAAGATATGGACTTGAAACAATATGATTCAATGAGTTAGATCTGACAAAGTAAATTTACTCTTAAAACATTGTCTAACAAGTTGGGTTGTATTATAATCATCGCACTTATAGTTTGCATAATCTCATATCAATCTCCACCTATAGTTTTCATTTACCAAACAAAAGCCTTCTGATTAATTTTACAAACTTCAAAATCTCATCTTCTTTAAACATCATCAGTTATTCCGGAGCACTAAAGCCCACCACCAATGTAACTTTCTTTAAGATTCTGCAATGCATGGCGAATAGAATCTTCATCTTGGTTGGAATATTTAAGGCATATCAGCCGCTGAACAACACGGTAAGCCTTTTGAATATCGTGATAATGCTGGAAATTCATCTCTATTCTCTTCGCATCCTACACACGCCAGACAGATAATAAAATGTGAAGAAAATTATTCAGCAACAACAATCCCAACTTCTCTCGACCATCAAGCTTATACACACTGACATTTTTATGGATTGCATAATTTAACTCCGAATGGAACTGTATATCATTAGAACTACATGTATACAAATAAATTGCTATTGTAAGCACGCGTGACTTTTTTATCGTTTTTGCAGATCAGGAAAATTTCAGAACCGTATTATGTGGATGAGGGCAAATGATACTTTTATTACAGGAGAACAGCAAACAAAATTCAATTATTTCAATTGCTCCTTGAGTTCACGATTCCTTCATATACCACAACCACTGGGAAAAAAATCTTGTAATTTATGCGAGTGCAAAGCTACAGATTCTAACCGAAGAACTTCCACAGCTAATCTAGCGAATTAAATGAATTAGATATATGTATGTGTTGAAAACATACCTGTCGGGTGATCTTTGATGTGATGCTCTTAGCTGATTCTATCACTGAACTAGGCAGCCCAGCTACTTCCGCTAGCATGAGGCCGTAATGCGCTACATGCCGTGGCCCATCTTTCAGTTGAAACTGGTCGGCACAATTAATTAGTAGAATTTAAAAAAAAAAAAAATAACATTTTTTTTAAGTAATTCATTCGTTCAATCATCTTACCTTGAAATCCATGCGTTTGTTCTGAACCTCGACGTCAAAATGAACGATTTTCACGTTCGGATAAATGGTGGCCAATTCAGATAGGTTTTCCATGTGAGTAGCAAATATTGTGTACCTGATATCACAAGAAGGATAAGAATTCGTATTCAATGTAGTTCAACTGCTTTAGTTTCTGTTTCTTGCGGAGGGATTTTTCAAATAACATTATAATTAGGACTATTGGATTCAAGACCACTATAAAGGTAGACTGGTTATCCTCAATTGGAAGTTACTCAAAAACAAAAACAAACATAAACAATGAAGTATATTCTGATGCATGTAGTTCTATTCAGTTTCATTAAGTTTAGGAGCATATGTTAATCAATTTCAGAGTTATTCTAACTATGCTCTGGTACTGTTGGGAAACCATAAAGTTCTGTTGAACTCCATACGAGAGAGAATGTCAGTCACGATATATGAGTGGCAGAACGGAACATTCATCATTTATGCGAATGAAGTCAAAACTTCAATTTTATATTAATAATAGATCTCCTGAGCAAAATAGTCACAAAAACAAGTGTTTGAGTTGCTCACCATACATGAAGGTTTTGTCAACTAATATAACAAAGATCCTTGTCACTGTTAAGCTTTTAGTACTCATCTCAAAGAAAAAAAATCACTTAATTAACATTTAACACAACATTTTTGTCATTAGTTATGCAGTATCTGCAGTCAAGACGCTTCCTTTGCACTGAAAATTAGAGGAATTATCATCGATTTTCTTAATAGTAATACATTTTTTTTTTCTGCAGACGAACAACTGAAAACTCAGCCATCAATCCTTCAATCGAAATTAAGACTTCTTTCATTAGCTATTGGCTAGAAACTTGGCAGATTCCAGAATTCTATGTAATTTTTCCAGAATATAGTCAGCAATATTTTTTTTTTTCATAATACTGTGTGAAACAACTCAAATATATTCAAGTTTCATTCTTCACCTATAAATGTTGATTCAAGAGATTCGGCCAAAGAAGATTAAAGCAAGTGAGGCACTGATTGCACCAAATAATGCCCCAAGGACACTGTACTAGAAATTTGGATTGCCCCTTCTCAGACTAGTTCAACATGATAAAGACAACTTTCAAACCATGAAACAAGTGGACAAAACAACTTGTTACTGACGATCAAAATCAAAGTTCAGATCGAGAACCAACCAGCTTTCCTGAGGAGAAAAGGAGGAGGCTATCTATGCAATAAAAGTTAATGACTTTGGTATATACATTTATTTCATTAGAAAGATGGTTTTAGGATTTCATAAGTAGAATTACTATAAGTTTTTAGGAGAGGAATTAAGAAAAAAATTCTTGGAGTTTTAGACTTACAGGATTTCAAGAATCAAGTGAGTTTAATTAAGATCGGTTCAGATCAGTGATGAATAAAGGAATATGGACTTGGACAATCAACTTCAAATTTATACACATTCAAGATATAAATAACAAAATTTTTTCTGTTACCTTTGCCACAACCATTGTTGACTAAAGTATTTCCTAAATGCAATTGAGTATAAAAGCATAAAGTGGTGAATGTTTACGCTCTTAAAGCCAGTAGATGCTCGCAGCAGCTCCAGGCAATCGCAAGTCCATCAGAGGAAGATGTTGCTCTTCCCAGTTCATCCACAACAATCAGACTTCTGTGTACAGTATAGAAAGTTGTGTGATGGACAATTAACTCAATCAATTCACGTAGAGGATTAGATTTCATTTTGCCAATGTACCTATGAGAAGCATTTTGCAGGATGAAAGCCGTCTCTTTCATCTCGGTCATAAACTGCATCATAAAGTTCACACGAATAATGCATTCAACTGATGATCTTTATACATTGAACTGCTGAAATAGATTATATTGTTTGCATGAGGCAATCACATGATCAGTCTCACTTGACTATAATGAAACCACATTTAACTGCGGTTTTTTCTCCGCCGCCTTGCTAGATCTATCTGGTAAGTCTGTATTCTCAGTTCAAGGCCACTATGAGTTCCTCTTTACTACAACATCTAAGAGCCAACGACTATACTCCGACTAAGATTTTAATAGCATAAGAATGAAGGTGGAGAAAGTTTCTACTGATCAAGTAGTAGAGCCTTAAGTTTGCTTTCAAATAAAATCCCCGCTATCGCTTTTCAAATCCAATACTAAGAATGCTGAGCTGGTCAGTCTTACACCTATACATCATTCACAGGGGTATATAGAGTATAGAATTACGTGTCAACCTATATCACCACAAAATAAAATTTATAATTGCATGGTACCATTTCTACCCTTCATTCTCCATATTCTCTTGTTTACTTTCTTCTATACATGAAATGACTTGTCCTGGAATTCGTGTCTAATGTAGACTTGAAATAAAGAAGCAAAAATAGAAAACAAAAATTAAAGATGTTAATTACAAGAACAAGAGTTCACCGTGCTGGAGTTCGACTCAACGTTGTCCATAGTTCCCATCCTAGTAAATATGCGATCAACTACTCTAGAAGTTGCGAAACGAGCAGGAACATAACAACCAATCTGAGCAAGGATGACAACCAGGCAAATTTGCTGAAGGTAAGTGCTCTTTCCACTCCTACAGTAAGCAATGTTGATTACATTATTAGTTATTTGGAGCAATTAAGGATCAATTAGCCTAGTCAAGTGAAAGTGATTTATGCTCTGTGTTTGCCACCATGTACGGAAGTCACATGAAAGTCGCTCAGCAGGGAGGAATCTCATTAGGAAGTAGAAAAATGCTCTTTTCATAGATCAAGGACCTTTCTGAAAGTGCTGAACTAAAGTATCACAGAACTGAAGACGAGTTGCTCTAGCAATTGAAACTTAATAGTATGCTTATCTTACTTAATTAGATGAACTTTAGTAGAGCTAAATTTGTTCCAAAATATTCACCTAACATAGCAACATAAATTAATTAGTGACGACTAGGTAAAAAAGCCTGAGAGGACGTCAAATATTTTCTTTCGAAACTTAATTTAGATGTATGTCTCTTACTTAATTAGATAAATTTTGATATAGTATTTGTTCAAACATATTCACGTAAGATAGCAGAGAAAATGCATTAGTGAAGACCACATAAAAAAGCCTGCGAGGATGTCAAATATTTTCTGTAGCTCTGAGCTAAGGAAATATATTGCAGAAACTTTTCATTTCTTCATTTCACTGCTTGGTAGCAAGAAATTTGGACTTGCCCGAGACAGAGTGATACTAGAAGGCTAAAAAACACAACAAACTCATACCATATGAAAAATTTCATGATAAATTTAGATGTCCTTACATGTTTGGACCCGTGACTATTACCATATTTGATGCTTCAGAAAGAAAAATGTTGTTGGCCTGGAAAAACAAACAAGGCCATCATCATCTGAAACTAATGTTTGTATGCCATGTCAAATCACAAGCATCAAAAGTTTGTGAAGCCAAATTAATGATCATTGTTATTATCAGAACACAAACTTACAACAAAATCATTGTGTACACTTTCAAGGATGGGGTGCCTTCCTGAGTCAATTGCCAAAGGACCATCATCTACAATGATATTCATTCATTATTAACGATGCCTAAGGAAATAATTAATGCTGAGACAGGCATGATAACAAGTCCAATTACAACTGTCAGTTGGCTTAGTGGATATTGTATTAGCAAATGAGTTAACTAATCATATCCAGAAGGCAGTGTACACTTACGCGAAAATTGAGGTCTAGTATATTGGTCAACTGGCTTTGTGGATATTGTATGAGCAAATGAATTTACTATCATATCTAGAAGGCATAAGACCTCTGCCAGAAGAGTGAGCACAGAAACATCCACTCGTATAGTATCAATTAGAGCTGCACGTCAACAAATGGATCAAATGTGTTATTCTACACATTGAATGTGTATACATAATAACTAAATTTTCTAAAGCATGTCGAATGAGCATGCACAGTTTGAAAAGAAAACATAATTTGGGTGGGCTATGAAACTTTTCCAACATCAAGGTGTAGTGCTCGAGAGAAAAGGTGAAAAGCAAATGTTCCTATGATATCATCTAACCTAATTTTTTTAACGTCATTGGTAAGTAGGTTTAATTACTATTGCAATACTTTTAATGGTTCAATTTCAGTACAGAAGTAAAAAGCTATTCTGTCATAGACTCGATTAAGTTGAGACAAACCTTCCAGACAAAATTCTGTTCTAATATAACACTCTTTAGCTGCAGACTTATTCCTTACATTCAACTGCAATTAGAAGAGAAGTACATATCATTAATCAGAGAATTGCTCTAGGTAACCTAATGAAGGGAAAAGGAAAAAAAAAAAGGAAATCATATAGTTAGGGAAGTTAAATAATCAGGAAAGGTGTAGAACAATTGAAGTGTTTAAGTAACTGAACTTACTTTCTTTCTCTTAATTAGACATGTAGGTGGTAACAATGGACTAACATTATGACAAGCATTGTAAAAAGTTATCAGTATACTCACGGAGGCCAGTTCCAGAGAAGAACAGTGTATGTTGTTTCCATGTTTTGAAACCTGTGAGTTCAATAGATTGGGAATGTCAGAGAAAATCATCAATGGAGGTTCTTTAAACTAAATAAGTTTCTCATTAACCTGGATGAACTTGCTAGGGAGTTTTCCCTGTATGTCCTTCTGAGGAATGCTAAAGTAAAAGCCTTGTCTCTTGTTGTATGGAATTTTCAAATTTGGCAGCTTAAAATCCTCACGATACTTATTTGCCAAATTGTGTATTGCTGTTAGATATTGTTAATTTGAGTGGTAGTAATTGGAAGACGAATAATAAAATTAATTCCTTCAATTTGCAGAAAAACCTTCACTAGTGTCGCAAAAGGACCGCCTCGCAATATCCAAAAGTCCATCAATTCCTGCCTTGACAGCGAAACACTGTTGAGTTCGGGCAACAAAAGGAACACGTGTATGAAGAACATCTTCATCAATCACCTCCGCGATCCTAAAATTGCATTTCATATATTATTTTTGATCTAATGACATAAAATTACTGGCCAGTTGTCGATTCATGTTATGAATCTGCCATCCTAAAAATGCAATTCATACATACTTTTTTACAATGACATCAACTTTATAATGTTGTCAATTCATGTAAAAGAAGCTACATTTAATGGCCAGTTAGGCTATGGCAGATCATTAGACCATCAACAATCACATCAGAGCTTCCTCGAAACTTATTCTTTCTTTTCCTGGAACTGATAACTTATTGTACCTCAGATTAAATCCATTCAAAGTGATAAATAGAATCAGTAAGTTTTACACTTCATAATGCACAAACAAACTGCTTAATCTTAAAGTGTTTTGTCTCACGATTGGTGTCTGAATTTTGCGTAAGTATAAAGATGACAAATAAGAACTTGAGAAACCAAAACTAAAAGCATAATCTTATTACATTTAGGTCAACACTAGCTTCATGTTGGTCAAACAAATCTTCCTTAACAGACAATGTGCCAATGCACAAGAAACAAGACAAAGAAAGTTGTGGAGATTAAATTCTCAGAGAGAGAAACATGCTTAGGCTCATTTTGTAAATGTTGGCATTCAAATACACATGCACAATGAACTTTTTATGCACCAGACATAGTCCCTGGTGATAAAGATGGCTGTTCTAAACAAACTGTGAAGTGTGAAGCATCTCTTGTCGATTAATCTGATTTATCAAGCCATAGAAGCTTGTGAAAGTAGCATGGGCCAAAGTAAGATGTGAGAATTTTGGAGTAGCAATAAATAAGATTCTCACTTCTTGTTGAAGAGCACTTACCAATCTCAAAAAAGAATCACAACAGTATGCATGTTTTCCATGAGAACAGGAAGATTGACTGACATTTAGCATGTAGATTCTAATAAAATATTACATGTTTAAAGCAGAAGATGACAATCAATTATACCTTTTCCTCATGGAAGGGAATTTTTCGCTCTCACATACGGATTTGTAAATATTTTTTAGTAAGAAACAGTTGGCATCCTTAAGAGCCTGAAACAATTCACATACAAAACTCATCAAGGCAGAAAAATATAAAACATACATGCAGATAGGTTAATTTACCTTGGACAGTAATGGTAAGGCATCTAGAGCAGTTTTGAGAAGAATAACGCTGGATATTAAGATTTGGCTCTTTCTAGAATTGTCGTTGACCAGGATGACATTGTCAACTTTCTTTTGCTTAAAGCAGAAGTGACAGAGGACCTTATCTGGAAGTAGCAAAAGATCATCATCGTAGTACGACTAAACTACTATGAGCAGTGAGAAACACTTAGCAATTTTGTTAATTTACCTATTTCCAATACTTACCTGTTTCTTTTGGAAACTTACGGAGAGCCTGGGACAACCCAAAGAACAGCTGCTCATTGCTCATCAACTCATCCTAGTTCAAACAAAAGCATGAGCCATTGTTACCAATGTAGAGTATGCAAACGAGTCCTAGTTTTTATCATTAAGACTGATTAATTGGACGACGTTACATTTCAGCAGATATGGAGCTTGAGTAAAATATTTAAGGTAAAACGACTGAAAAGAATCTACTACTATCAAGCCACCCCTTTATGAATAGTTTCCTTTTAAAGAAGGTCTCAAAAAATAAGTTTGGCCTCCACAAAAAGAATTTAAGGTTCGTCCTATTTTTGAGTTTAAGCTATAAATGATGTCGCACAAAATATTCTTTACGAGAAGATTAATCATTTTTTGTAGTTCATATGACTAAGATCACTTGATGGATAAACATTCCAACTTGTCGTGGAGATAATGATTGGGAATGAGAAGCCTAGTCATATGTGGGACACTTCTCAAATCTACTTACTGCAAGGGAACAACACATGTTAGCGTTTGCTCATGGAGACATTATTAAGGAGCTAAATTTTCAAATTTTACCACTGAGGCAGCACTCACTCTAAAATTCAGAGTAACACATTATGGTATTACTGTAAAGAAAATATCAGATAGCTTAGAGTAGCAGTCTTTACTGAAACTAAATTTTGGTTTCAGAGAACACTAGTACGATACCCGTGTAGTACATTGGTACTTGAAAGAAAATATACTTTTACAACTAAAAAAGTAGAATAATCAATATTCTGATTGTTAATACAATAAATGTACAATAAATAATAAAGAACTAACATACTATTTAACATCAAACCCGCGTTTTACACTTAATTTTGTAATAATGATAATTTTTTATTACATTTATAAAATCATATGAGTCTAAAACAAATATTATCTACAATTACCATAAATTTTATTTTGATTTTTTCAATTTTTTCTAATAGATTTATTGTATCGTAGTTATATTTTTTATTTCTCGAGTTGGTCTATCTCATATATTACTCGAAAAGTATTTAAAATTATAATGTTTGGTGATTTACAATATAAGTTATTACATACAAATGTAATATTCTCTAACTTTATGAAATATAAAAAAATTATTATTTTCATCCATACTTCTTTTCTTCAACATTACAATAACATTCAAACTCTCTATATTCTTTAATTAGGTCGAGACATAATTTTTTTGAATAATTCTTAATATTCATTTTTTTGTAAATATTTAATTTCCACATTTTTTCCAGATCTATAAAAACAATACACTGATGATTGTTTTATGGTATATTAACTGATTTTTGTTATTTTATAGACTAATTTAAAGTTTTATTTGATATTTCTCAATTTGGTTTGATAAATAAATTTATTGTTTATTTATCAAGACATATGAAATTATTTTCATAGTATATATATATACAGTATGAATGTCAAATAAAAAATCGTTAAAGATGATTAAGTTGATATACTATATATGAAAAATGCAATACAATTAGAAAATTATTATTTTTTAACTTAAGAAGATTACACATTTATATTACTTATATGTGAAGTAAAAAAGAAACGGAAATGTAATATATGGTAATTTAAATAACGGAAATGTCATATATGGTAATTTATGAAAAGGAAGGTAAAATATATATGAGTCTGTATATGCATGACTTCATATCTATGTATTGCTTAAATAAAGGGGAAAAAACTCAGACTTATATTCTATTTATTTGGGAGAATGAAACTCGAAATGACCAGGCAATCGAGTCTGGCATTGATAGTCTCGATATCCTTAAGTGGCTGCAAGAGGTTAGCTCGCAAAAGTCTCGTCCTGCAGTGAAGAACATATTTTAGATTTCTTGTAAGGAAAAAACATTGCATCATATAAGTTCTGCAGAGATGATAACCATTACACACAGGACAAGAAGCCTTTACAAAACTCAGGTGAGGCTACTAATGATCAATTTACAATCCACATGATTCTACAATCACTTGCACCAGTCGACTGGAGGGTAGAAGGATTTATACGTCAATTTTCTTTATAAAATTGCTGAGCAGTTTGTGGCTATGTAAAAGTCACGTCGCATTACCACTAGCTGAGCAGTATCCAAGTGGTTGGTTCGTCTTATGAATGACGAGATTTTTTTTTTTTTTTTCATAATTAATTTTTATCTCGCACTAGTACATTTGAAACAAAACAAACCATCGACAAGCTGAGAGCAGAAACTCTTCCAAGCAAGTTCACCTTAAGCCAAATCATGAACAATATCAGTTCATCTACGAACATAGGTCAGTGGGAAACATGGCTGCTAATCATGAATAATTAGAAATTGTGGCAAAACCTCATTTGGCAGTTAAATACGGAGCAAGTTTAACATACCCTCCAACAGTCCGTGTCGTCTTGAGCATGTGAAACAGGCTTCTCTTTTTGTTGTTAGTTCCCCACAGACTAGAGTGCATCGGCTCAACTAGTTCCAAGTTCTGGACACTGCCATCAGAATGCATAACACTCTACTGACTAAACAACGTAACAAGAAAGTACAATTCAACTAACAGATCAATGCCCTAGTATCTTCTGAGTTATAAAGTTCTATCTCAGTGTGGCGAATTTAAGATCTCTAAACTGAAACATCAAGACAGTAATTTTAAAGTTGGAGTAGCATTGCATTATTTTCAAGTAGAAGGATACCTAGTAGCATCTATATTCATGTGATCAAATGATCCATTAAAAGTAACCTGAAAGAGATAAAGTTTCACAACAAAGGGCATTTGTCATAATACAATCCGAACACAACTAAGACAAATGTGAAACAAATCAAAATGAAGTAAAGATAACATCTGGTTTACAGGATCACAAGACACTAGACCATTTTCTTTATACTGCAGAAAGCAAATAATTTCATTTGGAAGTGTAAATTTACTGTTAAGAGCTGCAAGAGAGGCGCACTATCCTTGTTGTACAAAATCTGTAGTTCATTGGAAAATGAATACTCCAGATGCCCTATGAACTCTCTTCATCGACTTCACTATAACATCTAGAAAACGTTTGTCAACTTCTCAAAGGTCCACTTCTAGAAACATTTTCCTAATGAATTTAGTTATTCCGTCCTAGAATACAGGGTCAAGTTACACTCAAATGCAGCCTTTATAATTCTAAGACCAGGCCCATGCCAAACTGCAGGAATTTCCGATCTCGAGAAAAGAGAACTATATATCTTCATGAGAACCAAGAGAAAAATTATGATACTCTGTATCGCCATAACAATATGTCCATTCCAAAATATTATACTAAACCCTGCCAGATGAATTAAGTATGAGTATGGGACAGAAAATTGTCCCATTATTCTAAACTGCATATAAGAATTGTGAACCTACTTGCAGCCTAATGTATGAGTGTAAACATAGGCAAGCTAACTGCTCAAGTGATGAAATGCCAAGTCAATCAGCAGTCATTCATTTTATTGGAGGAATTTCTTGAAAAATAGCAATAGGACATCGTAATATCATTATTTGTTTACTAGTGTACTCATTTTAGAAGTTACAATCCTCTGATATATTGTGTTCTTAGTCTTCAAAGAGTTCCATACATGACAACAAAGATCTTGTAACCAAAGTGAGATCATTAAGTAGAAATTTCAGCTCATTTATGAAACTTACTTTTAATTTTGACCTACTTATAAACCGTAAGAGTCACTTAATTTCATCTTGTAAATCAGAGAAGCCATGTGAACAAGGAGAAAATAGTTCTCTTAGAAAGTTTAACCTGATGCTGAACATTTTCCTCAACCAACAGTAATATTCATTTCTTAACCTCATCTTATCTCGGCACTTTTGAAATCACAAACAAAGAAATAGTTCGGTGATTGGGTTCAGAATTTTTTACCAAGTCTGTCATCTTGACCTTTACCAAGTCCTATGACTATCTTTTGGGTTTTGTCTTAAAACAAAGTGTAAACATGTATCTGATAATCTGAATTTCAATCATAGAGTAATTTGTATGTTTTACAGGCTTCAATGCTTCCGTTTCCTACAGAATAATAGGAAATTACATTCAAGGACGAGAACTTACAGATAATGAGTGGTTAGTGATGATCACCCCTTTCTCTGCTTCTATCCTGTTCATAATGCAGAACAAAATTTATTTAAAAAACCTAGGTAGATGGTTTTAAACTTCAATGACCACTAGGGTCGCAAAAGCAGGTAAACTGACCAATTTTATGATTAGTGATTATAGAAAAATATTGTTGGAAGAGCTTGCTTTGATGCGTATATCTGAAAATCATTTAAGTCTGAGAAGACATAGGACACAGCTTGTGGCCGACACTATTAACTTACGTCTCTTTCCGCCGGTATAAATAGACTCACTAGAAATAACAAAGAAATTTCAGATGCAATGGGAAAAATTAAAGAGGTCACCATGGCGATTTATACCTCAGAAATCAGTGCACCCAAAGGTTCATGTGATATTGAAATAATAGCGTAAGGAATTGAAAAATACTGATTTAACAAATGGCGGGATAGGATTAAAAGAGTCTCAAGAACCTTTCTCTAACAATTTCTTAAACATTCTACCCAAGCAATTAACAGGGAGAAAGAATATGGAAGCTCATCGTTGGAAATATAACATGTGACGAGGTCCATAAATTCACTTTGCTGTTACCACTTAGAAAATTCAATATTCAATTCAAGTTAGTCTGATGCCTATGCAGTAAATCTTAATTAGCATGTAACTGGTAAATGTTGAAAACTAAACTGAACCGCTAAGTGTGAATTCATGTTGCAAGGACTAACTTCAGAGAAAATGACAGTTTTTGTTGCATATAACAGCAGTTCATAACTCGTACTTTTGAGTGACATCATTATATTAGTGGTTCATAACATTATATGTGTCTAGATCAGGTGAACTATAACTCTACTTTTTAAATTCAGGGAAGTTCCAGAGTGAAGAAATACCATTTGATGGTTGCAGCCGCAGCAGCTAAGCAAAGATAATATTGCTTGTAATAAGTATCCAAACCAAGAGCAGATGGTTCCTTGGCAGCTAAATTTTTTACTAGCACAGCTCCCTGTTCGGACAAATTTAACAACTAACGTTATACTTCAACTCAAACCATAAGGCAAAAAGATTTATCCATACATCGCTTACCCTGGTGTCATCAAAACAACCACGAGCCATAATAACCTGTAGATTATGGTTGAAGGGAACCTTATTTAATGATGAACTGACGCAATGAGAACCATAAAATTTAAATTCACACATATATCACCTTTGTGGTTGATGGACAAAATCTGTTGACCAATTCAGAGACACCAACCATACCATCAGGAGCCAGCTTAGTAGGAGTAACTATAATGACCGTAGGTTCATAAAAATTCAGTAACGTTTTCGTGTTCTGGTAGGAGCTGCTGGTCTCAATATACTGAGAAAGGTCAAATGAAGCCGATCTCAAGTCAAATGCAGCCACTCCAACCTGAAAGTTATGTATGTATAATAACATTGAACCAACTGCAACATTGTATATACATGCAAAACGAAACTTCATTAACCTCCGAATATGTATTATTGACTTGCTATCAATCATTAAAAAATCAAGTTACAGTAATTAAGATATCGATATCGAATGGCTGTCAAAGAACAAAATATAGAATCTGTCAAGTATATGTCCCTGGGAATCTTCAGTATGACTAGCATGTACCAATCACATCGAAAACAGAAATTGTTCTAACTCTTATTATCTGCATAAATCAGAATAGGAACTTCCAAATGTTTGCACAAGTAGCAGATTTCGTATGACCTCCAGAGTCATCACTTGTAATTATCACAAGACTCAAGTTCTCTAAAATGTAAGGTCACATTCTATGAACTTACCCCGAAACAAATCGCTTTATCGATGGAACACACACAAATCAACAAACATCAAACAAATGCAGTAACACATATTAATTGTACTTCGGTAGCAACAACAATATTGAAGCTATTGCAGTGTAACCATAGAGATGCAATCATGAAGACAGTAATTGTTTTCATTCAGAAGAAATTTATGTGCCTCTGAAAGAGGAACACAAATACGAATCCCACGCGCATACAGAAGCTCCAGTGAAATAGCTCACAGCAAACGAATTCACTCACAGTCACACGCACAGAAGATCAAATACCTCTAAAACTCACATGGTCACAGAGATCATAAGGAAAAACGAGAAGCTTACCCAACGAAACTCAAATATGCTTCAATGGCGTCGCTATAGTGCATTGCATAAGTTTTGCGCTTGTGGCAGTAAAGATGTACAGAGGAAAGGGGAGTGGTGTTACCTCTTTAGCGCGGTTCTCGATTAAGCCGACTATGAAGCTGGATTTATCTCCGGCGTCGTCTTCCATTTCGCTTCTCAACACGGTGGAGCAACGTGAAAGCAAAATCTGGTTTATCAACTGCGCGCCAGCTGATATGTGAAGTACTATAGTCTATAACCCATATAGAAAGTGCCGCGACGCATTTTGAAGATGACTATAGGTAAAAAGTTTTGATTTATGTGTTAAATCAATTTTGATATGTTTAGTTAATTTTTATTATTGTACAAATTCTTTGTAGTTGTAAATTTTAATTAAATATTAATAATAATTAATAACTATGAACTTAAAAAATATTATTATAAGGATAAAGTAAAAAATTGGATTGGTCACCTTTAAATTCCATCTCTTCGGCACCCGCCTGCCGCCTCTTCTTGTCGATGCAACTAAATTTATTAATTTTACGCCTTTAAGTTTGTTTGAATGCTTTCATGAAAAGCAAATATTTAGAATATTATTTTCTTAAATATCCAAAAGTGTTTTATGATCATCGGTCTAAATCTAAACTTTCAATCAACAACAATATGTCGAGGAATTTTCTAAAATTTTTAAAGTGTGTTGGTGACTTAACTAGTGATTAGGTTGTCGAAGTGTGTTGGTAACTTAACTAGTGATTAGATTGTACAAATTTGATGGATGACCACTTAGTTTGGTTTCTCTCTGCTCTCTCTCTCTCTCTTATATATAAACTACAATAGCCCTTAATCAGTTTCGGTCCTTTCGTAATCAGTCCCTACTGATTTCACACACCACTTAGTTCCGTTTCTCTCTGCTCTCTCTTATATATAAACTACAATAGCCCTTAATCAGTTTGAGAACATTCAATGACAGTGCAATCAGTCTCTAAGAGCACTTGATTTCACACACCCATGTGGGTGAGTATGTGTTTGTGTGTAAATCTACGGCTCCTACGGGTTGAGTGCACTGTCCCTTGGGCCAGCATCGAAATTACCGTCAATTTCATGGTTATTTGTTGTTAATTGCACTTCATTGTATTTTTTCTTTCCAAAATTTATGACCAATTTTGTAGTTTATGACTATTTTAACAAAATGAACAAAATTAACCGACGACGAAACATTGATGTACCAAAATTTATTAAGGTTGAAGCTCAGTTACAAAAAATGAAAGCTCAGACAAAATTCGATTGTTAAGGTAAATAGACATACAAGGTTTAAAGCCTCGTTGAGATTGCCAATTCCATGACAGTCATAGTGACAAGGAGATAAGTTGATCATAAACTATATCATCGTCTGCATTTCTCAGCAGGATCCAAATATTTGATATGGTTAACTTTTCAGACACAGCACAATTAGATACACCATCAGATGTAGTGGATAGAATTTTATTTTTCCATGCATTTAGAAATGTAGAGAATAAGTTCAAGTGTCCGACTCCACATCAATAAAGAAACAGAGGATACAAAATAGACGCAAAACCAAACCAGACACAACATAAGCAAAGTGCATTACTCTCTCAGTTTGAACAAACATTAAAGCCTACTGCAATCTCATACATGTAATAAGATCTTCAGTAGCATACAAGGCAGAGAAGCAAAAAACCTGCAGGGCAAACATTGAAATAGATCAGTAGGTTTGGATCAAAACTATGTTTCTGTCATAAGAAGGAATTCACATTTATCCAGTATATGTATTGACAACAGCATCTAGCAAATCATATTCTTATAAAAATAAGGGTCCAAAGAGATAGAAACTTAACAACATTTTAACATATAATTCACTAGTTTATCAAGTTAAGCCCATAGTTGTCAAATGTGCAGACGAGAGATGCCTAGATTCATGGTTGAAGCACAGAAGAACTCCTTGAAATTGAAGGTGTGGAAAAATAGAATACCAATTAGATATCAAACAATGAGTAAATAATAATAAAAAAATACAAAGGACGGAACTTAGATGCTCTGTTTTCAATTTGTTTCCATTGGACTGCATTCAGATAATATGTCGGTCAGTGTTGTAGTATTTGGTTCATGTTCATTTTGCATTTTCTTTCCTAACATGCTTGCCTCGGAACTTAGATGCTCTGTTTTCAATTTGTTTCCATTGGACTGCATTCAGATAATATGTCGGTCAGTGTTGTAGTATTTGGTTCATGTTCATTTTGCATTTTCTTTCCTAACATGCTTGCCTCCTGCAACTTTTCGCGCCAAATTTTTTGTTGGTTTGATGTATCAATGATGTTAGCAATAGATATACAGATTATCCATTGTTTTACTCTTCCATTATCAAATTAAATAAGAAAATAATTATAAAGGCTAATCGCTAACCAGATCAAAGTCCAGTCATGCCATTCTAGTTATACAGATTATTTTTGTTCATTTGACGTATCAATGATGATTGAAATAGATATACAGATTATCAATCATTTTCCTCTTTCACTATCAAATTGAACAAGAAATAATAGTAAGGGCCAACCCGATCAAAGTCTACCAGTCCTGTCATTCTAGTTCTCAGCACACAGAAGAAGCAGGACTTGTGTTTTCAGTTTAAGGTGCCCAGTTTTTTGCTTACAACTTTTCAAGTTGCATTATACAATATATATATATAAATTAAAACATTGATTTGGTGGATAAATATAAATAATTGGTGAAAAGTCTTACACACAATCCTATCAGCTATATTATGTTAGCATCTATCTAACCACATGCTCATCGGGATGGATTTATTATTATGCAGTGATAGAGTTTAAGATATATACTAAGTTGTTCAAGACACTAGGTGGTGCCAAGATGTTTGAGTCGTGCACGTTTGTACTTCACGTCAAGTTGGACCTGGCGACTAGACTTGCTTCAGATTTAGGTCAGTACAGCTGACACTGTATAGTTGCCACCACAAGCTCTTCATTTTAAGTCCTAAATCCATATGAGACACTCCTAATCTTGAACATATTTGAATCACGTTGTTAGGGTCACACAGTACACTGGGAGTTAAGGACAGCTCTAATTTAGATTGGAAAATATGTTGATAGTACAATAAAATTACGGATCACTTCAGTATACATTGCATAACCCAATATGTAACCACATCAACTAATGAAGTTCCAAAAGCATCAATTAGATATTAAGATTTAGATTTAAATTAGCATAACCACAAATCCTACAAATTATGCACTCCATTTTGCTCAGAGAAAAAAGTAGAATAAGCTTCTTTTTGGGATAAGTATATGGGAAAAAAAAACCTCAACCTATGCGATCTGGAAATGTGTTAATGACCCCCATTGGTCAATCAGAAACTACAGCTACTGACTCCCTATCGATTAGTTAGAACTTAGAAAAGGTATAAACACCATATGTTCAACTTTATGCACCATGATGGGAAATGTCTTGTCAACCACTTTTCAGGGTAGGGGGAGATACAAAAGGGAAAAAGGTCGAGAAAGTTTAGAAGCAGTTAAAGCGATGACAACATTTGAGGAGTTAGATGAGTCAGCGGCTTACATGTGAAACCATATGGCCGTATTGCATGATAGCCATGCTTACACTCTCGCAAATCACACGCATTTCAACCTCAATTTTAGAAACACTTATCCATATCAGAGAAATTGCTTCTATTTGATAGTTTTTTTAAGTTTTAAATATCTATTTGTTTCGTCCTTCTGATCTCTGGTTTCCACATTTTCTTACAAAGAATCTGTGTCAATCAAGCAAATACATATATTCATTACAAAAATTTTCTTAACTAAACAAAAGTTCCAAATCAACAAATCCTGGCCATTTGGGTAACTGAATTCCCATATTGTCCTAAATTCCAGTGCACTAAAAGATAGTTCTAACTTCTAAATCACTAAGCCCAGCACACACACACAAAAAAAAAGCCTTTGGTCAATGTCAGCTCAAACGCATATTAGCAATGAATTAACAACTTCACTAAAAATAAATACATACCCAGCAAAAAGCCATACCACATCTAGGCAGCTCGTGAAGGAATCATCCCAGCTTTCCTGGCATACGCGAAAATCCCACCAGCCTCAATGACAGGACCAGCGTCCCCAATAGGCTTCAACTTATACTCTTTCCCAGTAGTATGATTAATCAGCTTACTGTCACTCTCACCCAGCTCGATGGTCACAACATCCCCAGTGGTACACTCCTCGCACAGCCTCCCTTCCGACTCCAGCGGATAAACCTCGCCTGTGGCAACAGAATTCCTGAAGAAGATCCGCGCATAAGACTCTGCCACCACAGCAGCCACGCCGGACGCACCCAACGCCACAGGGGCGTGCTCACGGGACGAGCCGCAGCCGAAGTTATCCCCGCCTATCACGATGGAGTATTTGGTCTTGGTGGCGCCGGGATCCACGAATCGAGTCTGGTAAGAGGCCGGCAGGCCGATGAGGGCATAGGAGCCCAGCTTTTCGTACTCGTCCGGGTTGGAGGGGACGAGGGTTAGATACTCGGCGGGGATGATTTGATCAGTGTCGATGTTGTCTCCGACGACGTAGCACATGCCGTGGAATGTGGCGGCGGCGGAGCTTGCCGCGGATGAGGCGGCGGCGGAGGTGGAGGCGGCGGCATAGGCGGTTAGAGATCGAGCAATGCGATTCAGCTTGAGGGATTTGAAGGGGTGAGCTGGGGAATTGGCTATGGAGGATAAGAGCTTCAAGGAGGAAGACGAAGGGAGGAGAGACGGAATGCTAGGGTTTCGGGTAGAGGAAGCGACATTGGAAACGGAAGCTGAGAATGCTGCAGTAGCCGCCATTTTGGAAGAGATGAGAGGAGTTCGGGAAATGCAACAGTAACTCTCACAACCTTATATATTTCCAACAAAATTTAATTCAATTGAAAAATCTAATGAAACTACCCATAATTTTGCTGGTCGGCACCGGCGGGCTTGGGTACGTTTGGTTGTTGATTAGATTTGTGATTGTTGGTTTCGGTTGTGTTGTGGAGGTAATGGTTATCGGGTCCAGGACCTGTTTTCGAGGGTAGACCGTTTGAAAGAAGGTTTCGACTTTGTTGATGCAGGTCGAGTTAGCCTTAGTTGTCTTGTGTTGGAATTTGGTGGTATGGTTAAATGTGAGTGGATATATTAAAATAATATTTAAAATAAAATAATTAAAATTAATTTGATGTAAAAATATGAAAGAGATAATTTGAAGTAATAGTTAGTTAACATAATGTGAATGGATGAATAGTGAATTAAGATTGATATTGTGTGTATGATTGATTGATTGATATTATTTAATTATATTGATAATATTGTTAATAGTGGAGTTGAGTTAAAGTTGAGTTCAAAAAAAATAGTTGAGTTAAAATGTTGAATTTTTTTTTTAAAAAATCTTATAAACAAACATGCTCTTTGATACTACTTATTTAGATTATCTTCGATTGTGGTCTTTCGTTGAGTATAGTGCTTGTTTCTAATAGGCAGTAACAATGTCTTATTGTATTGTTTAGGCGTGTGTCGTAGTTTATTTTGTTTTTCTTTTAGTTTTTCTTATTTTGCTTTGCGGGTGCTTGTAACTCAAATAGAGTTGGTCCAGAATTTGTTCCGACTTTAGTGGTGTCGTTTGACACCTCGAGTGTCCTTGGTTTTAGGCGCTAGTCGGACACCTAACGAATTCTAGAACACTGCTCACTATATTTGATGTATTACGAGTTATATATAAATATTTGGTTTCTTTAAGTTGTTTATCTTGACTTTTATGAATATTTATTGTCAGTTTTAAAATTTAAATTTATAAAATACTTAGGTAAATTAAATTATAATCATTTTAAAATTTAATAACCTTCTTTCTTTGTTCTCATTTTTCATATATTTTGCATCGTATTAATTACCTTTTCACAAATCTTTGATTTAACATATATGTTGTATATATAAAATTAAAAAAAATTATATCCACATATCTTAATAAAAATTAAACTATCTTTTATTTATAATTAAAAAATAAATTTATTATTTACTACTTAAAATATTTTTTAACATATCCACATAACAAAAATTATAACATAATTTTTTCAAAAGGCTTAAAAATTTTAAAATAAAACTTTTGTTATAATTATTGTTTTCAAAAAAGTATCAATCACACAAACGGGTATTGTTTTTCTCCCATGATCTCATATCATATTTAATCGAAAAACTTGAGTACAGTGTACACATCAAAAGTGTTTCACTGCAAGAATTCTTCCTCCTAAAAAGAGATTTGAAACACATCAATAAGGACAAGTGATAAAACATGCAAAGCTTATCATTTCATAATTTAAATGAACGATTCAGTCCAAACACCAACCCTTACATTATTAACCGACAAAACCAGATATCATAAAATAAACACAAAGCACACATCTNAAAAAACAAAAAAAAAAACAAAACCTCCAAACCACATATAGCAAGCAAATCCCACCAATCCATATCAAAACCCCCTCATTTCTCATCTATGCTTGCTATGACGTTCCCTTTCCCTATCCCTCGACCGGCGGCGGTGCTCCTCCTCGGCAGGCGGCGGCGGCGACTCATACCTCGATGAAGAAGAGCGCCGCCTCTTGAAATGCCTCTCGTCGTCACTGCTGTCATTGTCCGCCGCCTCATGGTGGTGGAGGTGTCCGTTCGAGTTGTGGTGGGGCGCCGCCCCCTTGCCGGAGGATCCTGTGGGGCCCGCCGGTGCCGGTGCCGGAGCCTGAGGCGGCTTCTTCCTCTCGTTTTCCGGGAAGCTGATGCGGGAGAAGACGCTCGGCTTCTGCTTCCGATCGGCTGCTGACGAGGGCGGCGGCGGCGGCGGCGGGGATTCCGAGTGGCGCTGCCAGCTGCGGTTTTGGTGGTGGTCGGGAGATGGTTGGGTGTCGTGTTTCTTCTTGGAGGACGGGCGTGAGAGCTCCGGTGAGTGTCGGTTATGGCGGTGGTGGTGGTGGTGGTCGGAGGGTGGAGGAGGGTTCGGTTTCTGCATTGCAACTTTGTTGCTAAAAAATCAACCCAAAAAAAAAGAATTGTGGACTGCCACAGGCTCCATCTATATGACTATATCTAATCTAGAATAGTATTGAAATGTGATGGAACACAATCTGTATCAGATTACAATGGGACGAGTGAAAAAAAAGTAGTTTGATAGTTAAAGATACATACGGATTTGGAGCGCGAAGTCGCATAGCCTGTACTGCTCCCTTCTCTCCCGTATTCCCCGTCTTTATGAATTTGTCTGGGTAGAAGGAATATATGTATTAGTGTAGAAATTACAAAATCGGAAAATTGGTTGGAACTTGGGAACACGCACGTCAGCTTGACCAACAACAATAACAACAACAACAACGAAGCCCTTAAAGTCCCATTAAGTGGGGTCGGCTATATGGATCACGTCAACTTGACCAACAACGAAAAAGTAAAAAAATTATTTTCACATCAGCATCTAGTCCATCAAGACAGCTATTTTTAATTTTTAGTAAAACTGAACAGTCAAAATCTAAATGAGATACTAAGGGAAAAAGGTAAAACAGGCAAAGTGTTGTGACGAGAGAATTAATTCAGCTTACCTTTCATCGCGTCTCTCCATTTCACGTTTCCTCTTCAGATCAGCTTTGCGGGCTTCAAATTCCTCTCGACTCATGATGGGTGGCCCCGAGTTAAATCCCATGGCCAACTCAGCAAGATCCCTGTTAGAAACCCATGAAAAATTCAGGCACACAACTCCCCAAGACCAACAAAAGCTAACAATCACCAAAAGCAGACACATAAACNGAAAAAAAAAAAAAAAAAAAAAAAAAATGTTCAAATGGTAAGGTAGAGAGATTATTAAACACGAAATGAATCCACACCTCTGAGGCTGAGGAGGGCCATAAGGAAACATACAGCCAGGTCCTCCAAATGGATCGTGTGGTAAAGCACCCGGAAATGGAACTTCCATTGGATTAAATCCGTAACCCATGTATGGTGGCATGGGACCACCATATGGAGGAGGCATGAATCCATCCAGTCCAGGTTGAATGCCGTTCCAGTAAGGATTAAAAGCAGAAGGACCTAACGGCATCATATAATTCTCGGGTGCAAGTTCTTGTGCATTTCTCCATTGCATATCTGGAGCTGCAGAGCGATTACAAATTATGAGATCAAATGGCCTCATGTAATCCAAGTTGAGTAGGAACATGTGCAAAAATTTAATCAAATTGGATCTGGTCCGGCTCAAGCATGAGATGAACCCAGGCCACAGCTAAAAGCATCATTAAAGCTCAAGAACTTGCAAAAACTAAAAGCTGCGCACATAAGTGTCAGTTGTATCAATATAACCTATCATAACCTATCATGACATGTATAGTAGAATANACTCCGCAGATGAGACAGGGATAAGATCGTACCACCAGGAGGCATCCGAATTTTCTTCTTTTTCTTCTTCTTTCCTATAAAACCAAAAGAAAGATGGCAATTGAAGGATCGGCTACATAAGAGGGAATAGATAAATATTAATTACACACTTTTACAGAATTTCAGTTGAATCTCGGTTACCTGCTTCCCCAGAAACTGGTTTCTGTTGTACCTCTTCATCAGCCAAAGGAACACTTCCCCGTGAAGCAGCTTCTTTAACTGTTCTTGAGTCATGTGTAGCTTCTGAAACATCAGGTACATCTATATTTCTCCCCTTTTCCTGTATCAGTGGCAGACTGGAAGACTTATTTTCAACAATATCTCCAACTTTCGAAGCATCATCCCTTTGAGGTGGTGGAGCAGGCATTTGCTGTCCTTTTGAGGCAACCGACTGTGTAGGGGATGGAACCTTAGCTTGTGGATTGCGAGATTCCATGTCTGCACCAAAAGAAGAGAGAATGATCATTGTAAAAGAACCAGTTGGATAGCACTCACTTTATAAATAAAGAAAAATGATATATATAACAAGACACTGATTTAATACGGTACAAACCTTGGACTTGAAAAGCACTCCCACCATTTTCAGTGCTGTTATTATTGGATTCTAGAATCCGGTTAATAGTATCTCTTAACGTCTTGTTTGGCAACAGATCATCTGCGAGAATATTTGTGGCCCCGCACACACACATTGATTTGGATATGATGTGATCTCTTATACCTATGGACAGATCAGAAATCGTGATGAATCAATCGTGTTAAGAGAAAATCAAGGATAAAAAATTCAATGAGAAACATGACATCTTGAATCGTTTATGCCCAACCGACCGGCTAACCCACACCCCTCACCCTCTGTCCAAGAAAACAGTAAGACATAATGGAAATGCAGCTAATATTCTTATAGCATAGGAAAACAAAGCATCGATGTAAGTGGTATCTTACATCTATCACAAAAGCTAGTAAAACAACACTTGCTCGTGAGGACAGCATCCTTCATAACTTCTTTACAAAGTGGACAATGTAGTTCTGGAGGGAGATCACCAACAGAACGCGTGGACGGCATTCCCTCAATCTCTTTCTCGAATGCAGCCCTGCAACGTTCCACTACTAAGAACATACAGATACATTTTGGAAAGTGTTTATAAAGAGGATTGGTAAAGATAGATTTACTCATTTGGTTTAAGAACTGCCACGGCTCCACTTGGTAGCGCATACGAGCCATCTGGAGTCGCCATCAACATTGACTTTGGAATTCCAGTCGGAGGTTTGACCCTCTTGATGTCAAAGGTGGGATCGCCATTCGTTGGACAGTGCTGAATAAAATGCCCTAAACAAAATAATTCTGATTTTCACTAACATTTCTCTTACAACTCATCCTTAAATATAGTTTACTTATTAACTTTCTTTACATACCAGGAACCTTGCATCTATGGCATATGTAGCCTGGTGGTGGTGTCTTTTTCTCAAATCCACCTCGACCTGAAAATCAATATATAATTTAAAATAAAAAAAAATAAAAAAACAGAAACGTGGAAACATAAAACCTCAGTAGAAACAAGGCTCCGGAACTCCGACTCAATAGTTCATACACTATAAAGAAAATAATGTCCTAATATCTAATCAACAACAAATGGAACTTTTTACAACACAAATTTTTGAATAGATGTAAAGGAACTTGAGAATACCGAAACCACGTCCACCCATCATTCTTCCACCCATGCCCCGTCCAAAACCCCTACCNNAAAAAAAAAAAAAAAACCACAAACAAGTCACAACAGGTAAGCTCTATGAGGCAAAAAAATGACGAGTAACAAACCAAACTTTCAGAGTCATTATTGTCCTTATAAACTTCAATTTAAGCAATACAGTTCTTACCGCTGCCAATCTAAGGCTGGAGTGTCAATTAAAGCTTTAATCTTGCTCTCCTCATCATCTTTGCTAACAGGAGCAGCATCCTGAACCGGGATGTTTGACTGAACAGGTACAGTTTCAGGAATTGCGTAGAGGTCATTCCCAAATTCATCCCATTCAAAATCTTCAGCCTACAAGTACCAAATATTGAGCACTGTGACGCACTAGGACACTTGAATGTTGATATGATCATGCTGCCACCCACTTATCAATTACTAAAAAATTGGATATTAATTTGTTTTTTCTGGAAAATTAATAAACTGAATCTCACATTATTCGTGGCAGGTTGATATACTCCAGAAACACCACCTTTTACCGCTTGACCATCATCGTAATTATTTTCGACATTAGGCCTACAGTACGGATAGCAATACAGAATTAAGCGCTAAGAAATTCGGTAAACAAGAACCAGGTAAATTAATAGAAATAATAATTTTGTTTCTTGAGTGAGTGCAGAATGGCTGTTGTTCTTTCCACGACCATGGTCAACTGCTTAACCCCCACCGCAAACTCGAAAGGTTTAACAGACCCCCGAATCAGTGATTCACGACAAATATGCAAAGTGAAACCAAATACAACATCTGTACTTGAACAAGCAAGCCAATTTGCAGCTTTAGAAAGGGGTTTCTAATTACACAAAATTTCTGTTGCCAGGAGACTAAATAAACAAGATTTGGAAGGATTAAGAATATACTCTTCTTGCACGGTAACAGGAGCAGTAACTATGGCCTTGCGAGGACGTCCAGGAACCCGGCGTATTAAAACTGAAGTATTTTTGGGAATTAACATTCCTTCATCGAGATACTCTGAAATAACAAAGAATGAGAAGGGTATAAAGCCCACAAAACCACCATACAAGCTAAACAAAAGAGCACAAACTACTAAGTATCGTTTTGAGATATTATGCTGACATCACGCCACCAACCCGAAGTACTATCACAAGGCACCTCAGTACTCTATTCTCTATCAAAGAAAGAAATAAGAACTTTTCTTCCAAACAATTTACACATTAGAAAACTAATACCAGACATTTATTGTAGTTAGCTTAAACCACTTCCAACAAATTGTCCAGGCAGATTTTTTCACATGCATTTTATCTAAGAAAATCTGTTGAGTCTCCAACCCAAAATACATTTAGGCAGACAACCTGTTTGAGGTAATAACAATGCATAATGCGTGATTAACCGTTTCACATCACGTATGTAATACTGTTGGACAACATCATATCAAAAACCAACAGATAAACTCGATGTTTGTAAGGGTGGCGGATCGTTCTAAAATGCGATACACCTTGTCCAAGCATGTGCGCAAATCAAGAAAAACAAATCCTAATCATATCAATTCCGTACACAAATTATCTTCGGGTTTTCAGAGAAACGCCATTTGTTTTAAAATGCAATCCAAAAACCAAAAAATTATCAAAGCTACAAAACACTCGATAGGGCAACTCCTCAGGACTTCCGAAGGAAACTAAAAACAATCAATAAAACATCTGAATTTACAATCATCAATTATACATTATAATATCTCCAAAAACAAAAATAAATAACAGTCAGTCTCAATCCATTGGTATAACATATTTTTAGTAGCTTAAGAGCCAGTCCATGGCATAGAGATTGAATTCAAAGAAACTGCAACCACCAAGTCTTATTTACCATTACCAACACCTCCCATGACTAACAAAAAAACTAATAGTAACACAAAGGATATAAAATGTCATAAATAATAAAAGACGCCCCTTTTATGGATTTTATTCAAACAAAATTTTGCAAAAACCAAAGACCAACCTTCATTAGTCTGGGCGTTGGTGACCACAAGGTCAAAATCTGTACCTCTGCCCAAATGCTTTAATTCAAATATTTTTTCTTTCAAGTGTCCCACCGATATAAAGTGACCGTCGATCGCAACTGAATCATAATCTTTAGCACTTTTGAATTTATAATAAACAGCCATATTTCTTTCACTTTTCTGAATATCTTTTCTTTTCTCTCCCAAAGAGAAATAACCACAAACAGAGACAAAGGCCGTCAAATGATACACAATGAATGACCTGACATTCAACTCAAAATAAAAACTAAAATGATAACAATAACAATAACAGAGGTACAATGAAAACGAAGAAGCTCTTTTTTTTTTCTTCTTTTTCTTGCTCAGGAAAAATAATCAAACCGACTAATGGTCTTCTAAACGCTCAAAGACTCCAAAACAATCAACTTCTGTGCTGACACTCGTTCAATTTTCCACAGATAGGATGGAGCGTCTGGATCTCAATTCCAAACACCGCCAAACGACCAGAAATCACACTGATCCAACAGATCAGATAAAACCACCGGAAATCGCTTTCCTCTACCGCCGGAAGGGATCTCTACGTCACCGCCTCCTCCTCGAGCCGCTGAACTCGAACTCTGCCGAGACTTCTCGATCAATATTTCGAACAAAACCCCAGCCTCAGGTATCGAACAATTCGCTCCGAATTGCAGCTTCCACGAATCAACCTCCGAATGGCAGGGAATATCGCGCGAAAATCAACCGGTAGAACAAACCAGTTAGGGCTCGCCCTCGTCAATTGAACTCCGCCATCATCAAATGGAGATCCGGCAAACAAATTACGGCGCTCTGGCGGGTGAATAACTCGATCGACGTCGGCGGCTGGTGGAACTCAAAAAATCGGATTTCGATCGAAGGGATAAAAGGATTGGGAGAATAGGGTTGATAGGGTTTCGAGAAAAATCGCAAAGTGATGTTTGCTGTTGAGACGATAAAAGCGTATGTGGAAGACGTTGCGAGGGGCGGCTTTATAGGGAGCGTCTTTTGGCCCAAAGCGCCATTATTGTCAAATTAAAACATAAAAAACTGTCCAAACTGGCCCATTATATGCCTGGTCCATGTTAGTCCTTATCTAATGGTTAAAATGACAAAATTATATTATTTATAAATTTTTATTTTATATTTATGATATTTGTATTTTAATTATTGTATTTTAATTATCAGTATACAAATTTTATTATATGAATAATATTACAACACCCGTGTATTACATGGGTGTTTAATTGAGAAATACATATAAAAAATATTAAAGTTTTTCATAAATTAAAATTAATCTTGTTTTAATTAAATTGTCAAATTATAATTTTTAAATCATAATAGTTAAATACTCGTATATAATTTTATAATGTAGATGAAAAATTATATTTTTTTTAACCTCATATGTAATTTTTNTTTTTGAATAGTCAATTATTTATTTTTATTAAAGATTCCCCTTCTTACCGCTTCTGCTTTCGGGGATCAGTCCTCCTTGATAAAGCTTCTCTTTCATTTCCATATGGGCGTCGCGAAGCGAAGTTCAGTTCCGGTGTAATTGAGATTTTCCTTTCATCTCTACACCCTCGATCGGATGGTTTTTTAGCCTACACGAGGGAGGGATATAGCCAGTACACTCGATCTACCTATAGTCTCTCTACTTGACTTTCTTGCTTTGACTCATTCGTTTCGCTTGTTCGAAGGTTAGCCTAAACTAAACGAAAGAAAAGAGTAGCGATTTAAGCTCGATCCAACTTTAGAAGCGAAGTGAAGTCATAAAATCGATTGGCCTCTCGGCAATGTGAAAATCAAAGTGTAAATGACAACATACTCATAAAATGTTAAACAAAGAAAAGAATACTAACATATTACTTCATTTTCGAAATGAGTAATATATGAATATAGAGAGAAAGATTGAGAACTAAATTAATATGATTGATTTAAGTGAATATATGTAATAGAAAAAAATGAAATAAAATAAAATCTATTATGCTAACTATGGAAGAAAATTATGAAATGAAATAAATAATTATTGTTTTAATACTGGAAATATTTAATGTATTATGGAAATAACCATACTTAATGGACTAGCGAAACTAATTATGTATCAATCTAAAACATAGAAGTATGACATATGTGGTTCTGACATGGACGTTTGACATGACACTCTAGCCTTGATTACGTATCAATCCAAAGCGAAGAAGTATGACAATAGGATTACAAAATATGCGAGCCTACTACTTATGTTCAAACAATCAAGAATCAATAGATTATTTTGATATAAGAATTTTTTATTAAAAAAAATAAAGGTGGAGTAAATGCTTGGATACAAAAATTATCAAAAAAATCCAAACATTTAACTCAGTCACTTTTTTTAACTCAACTTTAACTCAACTCCACTATTATCAATATTATCAATATAATTAAATAATATCAATCAATCATTCTTACACATAACATCAACTTTAATTCAACTATTCATCCACTAACATAATTTTAAGTTTTAACTAACAATCACTCCAAATTATTTTTTTTTTGTACTTTTAAATTAAATTAATTTTAATTATTTTATTTTAATAAGTATTTTAATATACTCACTAACACAATTAATCCAAACAAAATCAATCTTTTTTTTTATCCAACCATCCCCAAGATCTCCACAAACCCTAGCCCAATTTGCAGCCCTTCCCCGCACGCTATAGGCACATTCAAAATTGGTGTGCTCTCCCCACGGCAAAACCACCGTCAACCGCCGCCTTCCGGTAGCCACCGTCAGAGTTCAAGTCAGGTAAACAAAGGAATTCATGTTATATTTCATAAGTGAACATGCCCATGTATGAATACGCTTGTGAGACAGCTTGCTTGTTGATGTTCGATTTTGTTCGATGAGTTCAAGCGTATCCGCATCAGTTTTTCTTTTCCAGTGATACTGGAAAACACGATAATCATTAATCAGTAATTTTAGCTTGAGAAAAGTGTGAAACCAATCCGAAAGTAATGCCGTGTCAACTCAAATGGGAAGATATGGATTTTTTTGTTATTGTTTATTTTCCTGTTCTGCGGAGTTTTGTAGAATTTAACATTACTTGTGTTGAATCATTGAAAATAAGTCGAAATGAGCACATATTTTAACAATTTCGATCCCGTCAGATCTAAATCATGCCATTTTTTGCTTCCTTTTTTGTTACTCATCAAGCTTTTGAACATAATCTGCAGTGTTAGAGAAACTGGATCGAATGTTGGACATGAACTCCACCCACAGCAAGACCACTGGCCTTCCCCGTAAACGTTTCTATCGAGCTCGTGCACACAGCAACCCACTGAGTGACTCGCATTTCCCAGTCCCAATTTCCCCTAACCACTTCGACTACACAGCCCATTACCCTAATCCCGGAAAAAAATTGAATCTTTCCCAGAAAAAAATCGAATTTGCTGATATTGGCTGCGGGTTTGGTGGGCTCTTGATCAGCCTCTCGACTCTCTTTCCCGATACCCTCATGATCGGGATGGAGCTTAGAGATAAGGTGACTGAGTACGTGAAGGAACGAATTCTATCACTGAGGGCAGTTAACCCTGGCCAGTATGAAAATGTGTCCGTGGTTCGAACAAATTCGATGAAGTACATTCCGAACTATTTTGAGAAAGGACAGCTCAGCAAGATGTTTTTTCTATTCCCGGACCCTCATTTCAAGGAGAAGAATCACAGGCGGAGGGTTATTAGCCCTCACTTGCTTGACGAGTACGCGTACGTGCTCAGAGTTGGTGGGGTTATATACACGATAACTGATGTGGAGGAGCTTGGGGAGTGGATGAGGGCTTGTTTGGAGGGTCACCCATTGTTTGAGGAAGTCTCGGAGGATGAGCTTTTGGTGGACCCGGTTGTCGAGCTTCTTAGTTCGGCAACTGAGGAAGGCCAGAAAGTGTTGAGGAATGATGGGCAGACTTTTAGAGCTGTTTATAGACGGATTGCGTCTTGATGTTGTGATATTGTAGGATTGTTACTCAATCGGATGCTGGTTGGTGAAGGTGGAATTAGGAACCTTTTGTGCTCAACTTTGATGGTGATGNTAGTTTTTTAATTTCGTAATGTGATGGGGATAAAATTTTAGTTTTTACTCTTGTTTTTTGTTTTACTCATTCTTGTGTTTGTTGTTGGCCTTTGAGTAAGTGTATACTCGTTGAGGAAGTTGAAAGTATTTTATTTCTATGATATGTGGAAACGTTTTTCTGGAACATTGAATGGCTCTTGGTCTACATTAATATATGAATGTCGACACAGATTCTAAGTATATAATCTTTGGAGTTTGGAGTGCTACAAACATGTATGTAATGTGTATATGGTTAGTGTAGAAGATCTTTGGTGCTTACTGATGACTCGTGCTGGGAATCAGGGAATGCTACAGCCAGTGGTAAAGAAATCATACAATATGGTTGAGATTTTGCTATCAAGAATTCGTGCATGTTAGAATTTTTTTTTTTTACATATAATGGTGTCTTCACTCGTGCGCTGGTGAATTTTGATTTTCCTACAGTTGATATCCGTTGATAACTTACACCTAACCAGCTTCATCAAGAGTGGCTTAGGCTAAAAATTTGTAAATGTTGAATTTGGTAAAATATTAATTTTGATATTTGAAGTCTGGCAGCCTTTTGCCTTCAAGTAGTTGAAGTTTCAATTTAGTCAATTTTGAAGCTAACATTTCAAAAATTAACAACTGTTCAGAAAATTTCACTCGCTTAACCCATACACAAAAGATTCGCAATTCCCAGGCATCAATAAACAAGCAAAGATGAAAGAACAGCCTACGAATGTAAAAAATATGCAATAATCACCACCTTAAACCAGCTTTTAAGATCAAAATTTCACCAAACAAAACTGTTAACAAGAAGCCAAATACAATCCACCCTCCATTTCTGTGTATTCATACCATCACTTTCTTCAGTTCATGAACGATACTCTTTATCTTATATTTATCCTTTTTCATCTTACATATCTTTCTTCAGGGCCAGAGCTCTCTTTACGATACTGACGGTGGCAAAGACAAACACCATCACGACTATTTTTTTTGAGGCCAACAACCTCAGATTGACCCTCAAACCATGACTTCTCATGAAACAGACTCCCATTTGGACCAGCCACACAGCCCATGAAACAATCGAGCAGAAAATCACTTTCAAAGTCTCCATGGGCCCACAGACACTCGTCACATCACCACCCTGCACCTCCACATAAGACTTACTGGCGCACGCCTGGCTAAAATCAGCTTGGTTCAGCCCGAGCTTCTCGTTCAACCAACTCGACAGGTAGACAAGAAATGAGGCCAGCCAAGCAATCTCGTCGTTCGAGAAAGGCCTTTTCATCCAGTCGCCTTTGTATTTAATCTCAGTCCTTTTTTGGTTGCCAAATCTTCTGGGACTGAATATCTCGTCCCGTAATTGCTGGCTGTCTGAAGAACGAAGGTGGGGTCCGGGTGAGGGTCTCGTGATGGAGCTGCCATATAACTGACTTAGTTGTGCCTTGAGGGAGTCAAGGCACTGAAGGTTCTGTGACAAATTGTTTCCCGAGATTGATTGTAGCTCGGATTCTGCACGCAACAGAAAGAGCTGCAAAAAAAGGCAAAAACATTGGCTAACATTATCAAGCGATTACACGTTGGAGAAAAGATGTGTATGGAGCATCGAGAAGCATGATGATTATTTGCACCTGAAGCAAATGCTGCCCACCATCTTCGCCATCGGCAAAGAGTCGTAAATCTTTGTTCCAGTTGTCATGCAAAAAGGATCCATCAGCATCACTCTCACATAGGCCATCCTCCCAATCCTGAAATGATCAGAGAACTATCATAGTTAAGAGAGTGGCAGCCAAAATAAAACAATATCTCGAGAGGCCTAACGCTGTAATGCCCCCACAAACAATTGGTCTTGGAAAAATTGGGTAATTGGTGTACGGCCTGATAACCGAAATGAATGAGATGGAATGTTAGAGATCGATTTTCTATTATATTTAATTGTTAAGACTCTTTTTAAGTAAATCATCAGTTGTAACCTAGGTTTGTCTTTAGTTGAATCGAGATTGTTGGCTTTAAGCTTAAGCAGTAAGTTTCTTCCCAAAGACCCAAACTATCCGCCTTAGGCTCTGTGAGATTTCTCCCTAGTTGTTTTCACTTATTTTCCTAAATAATATTGATAATCTATAATTTCTGCATTACTTTCATTCTTGATTCTAGTTCAATTGCTCCGACCTTTCGTGCAGCCACGCATCTCATAGCTCACGTGCATGCCTTACTAACAGTTTAGACAAAAGAGTCCTAGGACATCAATTATCTAAATGAGAATTAAAGCGCAATTACGTCCATCACCTTTCTCGTGCATGTAAAAGCCAATCCCAGATAAACGATTTCCAGATTACAATTGGGGACAAAATATTGTAAGATTGCCATTGGACAAGAAGCAACATTTTTATTTCTCCAACCAGAAATACACTATTCATTCATCTCACAGTTACAAATTACTATTTTATCACATCACTTTACTTTTATCAAAATCATTAATTCTTTCATTAACTCTGCTTTACTCGACCACTGTTTTTTCAATTTTTTTTTTCCCTCAGGTGAAAATGTATCCAATTGCACCCTATTAATTACCTTCAATAGTAGCCACATCTCCTCGTAAAAGCAAAATATGTGGCTCCTCGTAAAAGTAAGATATGCAGAGCATTTCAACAAAAAGGAAACCAATTACACTTTAACTACCTGGGCCCAGAACTTTTGGACATGAAAATGTATCAGAGAAGTACAAGCCATGGCAGATACCTGTAGCTGTTGAAGAATGGTTGGAATATATCTGTTGAATGAGCTGAGCCCTGATTTAGAGGAATCAACCGCTTTTGAATGGAAAACAGTGTCAATTTTCTTTATGAGATTCATGAGCTCTGCCGATGATGTTAGAATATTTATTACCTGCAATGATGCAAAATACATGAATAAGGAATGACATTGGTCGGTCCATTAACCAGAAGGCTCATTCTATCATTCATCTCTGCTGTATACAATTTCTTTCATTACATTCCTCCAAAAAACCTTAGATGCCATGACAAGAACCTAACACCAAGAGAGATATCATGTGGCAAAATGTCAACATCAGTAACAGTTTATATAAGCAATACTTCAAAGAATACCCAAACCTTACTACTATCAAGTGACAACATGAGGTCAAAAATGTGTGTGTGTGTGTGTGCGCACGTGTGAAAAAAACATGCATTGCTTCTCAAAAGAGATCACATCATATCCAATCAGTGTTTTCAAAAGAAGGAGCATTACGGCATGGTGTGGCAGAAATACAGATGTGCCATTTCATGGTGGCTCTTTAGCAAGTTTTATATGGCACCACCAAAATTGGTAAAATAACCAAGACCCACAGAAAACATAAGGTTTGACTTTCTGTATAATCATTGGTGACACCACCATGGTCAGCTTGCACCTTTCCATGGTAATACTTACCGACTCCATGAAAAAAAATTGCTTCTCAAAAGAAAATAAAAGGTCCCATCTTCCAAAATGGTCTTCCCCTTCATAAGACCTTGGCAACTTCAAAAGAATATATTAATGCTGCACATAATTCAGCTTCTGGACCATTCTACCTAGTCTGGAAAGTAAAGACAACCTTTCGAATCTCAATAACCCATTGGTTTGCCGCTTAATTTTGGGGGTAAAGAATGTAGTATCAACTGTGTCAACATATTCACTCTAGACAAGTAACTACCAACTTATCCATGTCCATGCATGTGCATTGCATCTGATACTAACAACAGAATAAAAGATATGATGCTTAAGTATTTTTATATGCATATAAAATAAATAACTACTGTAAAGAATTATGTAATAAAACAATAAATATAGTAATAATAGAGAGCCTGTATGCCAGCTGTCATGTGGTCATCAATTGTAGTAAAGAGAATTCAATACATATTTATACAGCAAAAGACAGTAAGGCATCTAGTGGTGTCTACAAGTGAGAGATTGTAAAAATTAAGCAACCCAGGCCTTAAGGCAATCCTCTCACTTGTTAAAATAAAGGGGAGAGTCAAAGTTTGGGAGCGAGTGCAATCAAACATTCTTCACTGAGAGAGCAGAAGAGAAAGTAACCATGCCGTAGATACAGAACTAAGGCAATAGGACATTAGTGCACAGAAAAAGATGATCTGAGAAATTTATAGCACAACCAAAATAAATCATACCTTAGCGACCATCTGAACAATAACTTCCGTGTCTGTATGAAGAAACTTATGTGCAAATCCAATAAAGTGCATGACCAAGGAGCTATAAAACAAGTAGTTGGCCAATATGAAACCCTGCCAAGAGGAAGAATATCCTGGAGATGATGAGTTACTGGCACTGTTTGCTGAACTTCCGGTAGAAAGCCCCAATGTTTGATTAAGATCGGCAAATTCTTCAAAATTAATTGACCAAGGTTCCATATAGTTGATCCAGACAGAAAATGCTTGAGATGCATTTTTTATGGATGTTTCCACTGGACAGAACAGAAAGGTTCTCAAGATATATCTGTACAATGGCCTCTGAATCAACATGTTTCGTGGTCCAACTGTATGAGAACTCAGAGTAGAATCCCTAACAGCATCAAATGAACCTGAAACTCCCCACCCAAGAGTCCGAACATAATCAACCTGATTATGCCCTTCCATAGCTGAAAACGAATTCATGTCCAAATACTTAACGAAGACATTTAACACGTCACCCAATCCTGGGGTAGGTGGAGTCTCTCCCAGCACAGATTTAAAAGGGAAAGTTACACCAAATGCCTTTGACAAACTGACTGGCAAGGGTGAAAAATCATTGTCAACCAGCCAGAAATGTATCATTGTGTTGACCACAAACTCAGCTCTCTCCAGACTAGAACTATCATAACCAGAAGAATACTGAAGTAAGGAACTACGGTAGGGCTGCTGGACATTCAAGTCTTGGACAGGCACAAACGAATGAAGATAGACATATAGAAGTCTTATGTATAGATTACTCTCAGTCTTCTTTTCCGTTTCACGTTTAGTACTTGCAAGACCAGGAATTGAATATGACCAGTTCTCCAACCTAAACTTTTTGGTCCTTTGAACCTTCACTGTCTCTGTACCCTCACTATTACCTCTGCAAAGAGGGAAATAAGCAAACCAAAACATGTAATATTCAAAAACATTCAACTGGATCTGATACGATGAACCCTTTAATGAATCTTCCTTAATCCTGTTCTTCAACAAAGGACACAAATCAGTCAATGCCCGATAGTCTTGCTCCTTCTGAAGCATGTAACGAACCCACTCTGGTAATCTTTCAGTAGGGAAAACGTATTTAACTAGAGAAAGACGATCGATCCCAGAAACTGAAGACAACAGCACACCATTTGGCGACAGCAGGCTGAAAATTCTACCTATAAGCAAACCAAACAACAAGTGCTGAAAAATATGACATGCAGATGCTGAATTACAGAAAAGAAACAATATCTTCCCCAACTCTCAGTTACTCAACATCCAGATAAAAACTATAACAGAACTATACATATATAAAAATAAATAAATAAAACAGTAAGTAAAGTCTCAAAGGTTTCTCAAAATCAATGAAACGTGTGTAATGAAAGCGCTGCCAAAAAATTCAAGACACTGTTCTGAAGCTGAAAATTCACACCCACGAAAATAAATTGCAAAATACAAACGATACATACGGTCATCTAAAACTAACTAGAAATCAACGGCGTTGCGGAACCCTACCTGCAAGCTCCGAATCATTTTCAGAAGCAGCAACGTCAATCCATCCGTTGGATGAGTGGCGCTTGATAGCAGCCGAAGGAGGCGAGGGGTCATCGAAGCCGAACACTCTGCATATTAGGGTTGGGAAAGTGATGGAGAAGAACCACCTCTGCTGGTCGGGAGTGTGCTTTCGGAGGAACGACTCCACATCGGCGCACGCCGCGGCGATCTGCGCCGGAGACGACGCCGCCGCGACGGCGGAGGCCAGCTCCGCGGATTTGGTCTGCGTGTCCGTGGCGTACGAGTGCGGAATCATATTTTCACGTACGACGAGTGCGTGAGAGAGAGTGAGGTAGGGTTAGAGAGAGGGTTTAGGGGAGAATTTGAATGGGAATAGAGGCGAATGGCGGGTTTTGAGCGAGTGTGAAAGGGGAAATAGAGGAGAAGGTGGTGGAAGGCCGGAGCTGATTACGTGGCGGTGGGCGGCAAAACGTCTGCACTATTGACTATTGAGTGATAGTGAAGTTCGGTGTAGTGTATACATGATGGGCCAGACCCGTTAACCATATTCTTTAGGCCTGCACGGGAACCGGGTTGGTTCCAAGCCTTATTTCAAAAAAAAGTTCAATGTACATATATACATAACAAACTGCTAAATAATAATTCCAACTTCTACCTTTAGACAAAAGATGAAGGAGTCGGAGATGGGAAGTGACACGGAGATGGTGAATTCATCCACCGGTCGTCCACCTGACAAACCACCCGACACGCCATTACTCTTCAAAGGTACGAAGCCCTCTTTCAGAGACATTACTCTTCTTTCAAAGCCGCTCCCTCCTCCGCCTCAAAAACGAGATTTGTTCAAAGAAAATTTAGCGAGAATTAACCTAATCGACAACGATCGATTGAAGCCGGTCTTGGAGCTACACCCGGAATACTATGCCTCAGTAGCCGTCCATACGAGGATGGACTTGTGGTTCGTCTTTTAGGTAAAAAAGTATCATATTTCTACATGAGAGAGGGGCTTAAGCGTCTGTGGAAGCCTCACGGACATATCAAGCTTATTGATCTGGAAAATGGCTCTTTCATGGTGAGTTCACAAGAGAAGAAGATCGTGGAACAGCACTGAATGGAGGCCCGTGGATGCTCTCAGGTCACTATGTCACAGTTCAGAAACGGACCCCCCAGTTTAATCCGTTTAATGATGTGATCGAAAATACTTTGATTTGGATTCGATTCTCAGGGTTAAACCTCGCTATGTTCGATGAGAACATCATGTTCTGTCTGGCATCTATGGTGGGCACACTCGTACGGATTGATCTCAACACTTCCACGGTTGAAAGGGGTAAGTATGCCCGAGCCTGCGTTCAGATTGATTTGAATCAGCCCGTCATTGGCCAAGTGGGGTTCCAGGGAATTTGGTACAAGGTTGAATACGAGGGCCTCTACCTATTATGCCCCCTATGCGGACGTTATGGCCATAACCGCAACACATGTTCCTTTGTTAAGCCAATAGAGTCTGCCAGCCCATTGACCTCGCTTGATAAGGGCAAATCCATTAGTACTGACGATGCCATGAAACCCCCTGCTGAACTGCATGGAGATTGGTTGGTGGAACAAAAAAGGAGAAGGGGTAAACCGAACAAGAATGTGGGGAAGGGTGAGACGTCTTCTCCGCATCCGGTTGCTCACAAAGTGTCTAGTAAGGCAAAGCTTAATCCACAGAAACAGGCAAATACTGCTACCTCAAACCATTCTAAAAAGAGGTGTCTGGACGTTCTCAAAAGGTCACCCAAACACCTCAGCTGACTTTGATTGATGTCGAACCGACCCACACATCTGCAAAAAAAAGACGTCATACAAGCCTGTCTAAGGGAACCATTACAAAATAGCCCCAAGAAGTCGCTTCAACCTCCCAGGGGGTTATACATGCTAACAAGTTTGAGTGCCTCAAGTCGACGACTGTGGACACTTGTCGGGATATGGGTATAGAAGTCAAAGCTCTCAATGCAGGGCAGGAACTGGAAGCCCATTCTAGACCCCCTGACGGTAACTTGATAGCCCGAAATTAATTTCCTCGACATCAGTTTTATGGGTTCTACACCAGTCAGATCAACTAGAAGCCCAGTTTCGGTGGGTGACCATAATCTGGATGACAGGGGCAAAGCTTATGAACTTCATTCTTTGAAACTCGGGCCGTGTCTTAGTCCCAGTGTGGCTGATCGTCCAAAAAGCGATAGCGTTCTTAGTTACTAAAGATAGGAAGACCTTTCCAAGAGCAGGTGTATGTATGTGTTTAAAGACATTGGCGTGTTATCTTGGAATGTTCGCGGCCTGGTCAACAAGTTCTCGCAGAGACAGTTGAAGGATCTCATTTTCCTGCACAGACCGACTTTCTGCTTTGTTATGGAACCTCAATGCCTCTTCGGGAGACATGAGGCCTGGCTGCAGTACTGTGGTTATGATCGTGTATTTGTATCGGAAGCGATAGGTAGAAGTGGCGGCATCTGGCTACTTAAGAAAACTGGACACCCATTTCGGGTTACTGTTCTTCACACCTCGGCCCGGACCATATCTATCAGCATTGGGCGAGGTGGCTTTCAACGGGCGCTTACGGGGATTTATGCCTCGCCCTTTTTTCGAGAACGGCTCAGTGATTGGGACAGCCTGAAGGCAGCTCGTATGACTTGTAAAGGACTAGGTCATAGGGGACTGGAACGAGGTTACCGGCCCATCCCACTCCACGAGATTCTCTTTATCACAACATCGAGCTGATATTCTTAATGATGTCCTGCATCATTGCGACCTTACGATTATTCAGAGCATGGGTCCGCCTTTTACATGGCGGAGGTCCTCCACGAGAGACAATATTCACTCCCAGAAATGCCTAGATTACGCCGCAGTGGATACAGATTGGATTGGAAACTTTCCCTTTGGGATGGTGGAGATTTTAAATAGAGGTAATAGTGATCATAATCCGCTCCTACTGCATTGCCATCGCAAACCAAACATCCAGGGGCTTCCACAATCGCCATTTCGGTGGCATGAGGCATGGGCAGACCATCCTGAATATTTTAATGTTCTTACCGACATTGGAACCTGGGCAATGGAGATTTTTTGCTCAACATGAACTCCGTCAGGGACGCTTCCATTTCGTTCAATCGGACCTGTTTCGGTAATATTGGGGCTCGCAAGCGCAAAATTCAACGCCGCTTGTTGGGTATCCAACGCATTCAAACTCGGGTCTACTCAGCGCGGCTCACCCTCCTTGAGGAGCAACTTCTTACGGAGTATAACACCATTCTTCACCAGGAAGAGCTCATTTGGTTCCAGAAATCTCGGGAAAAAATTCTTCTGTACGGGGATCGTAACACTCGATACTTCCAAACAGCTGCCAAAATCCACAAGAATAAATCGGCCATCCACGGGCTCCAAATTAACAATTGCTGGACCTCAAATGAAGCAATCCTCAGAGGACACGCCATTGAGCATTTTGAGAGTCGTTTTACGGATAGCCCCATCATCCCCATTGGTTGTGAATACACTAAGCCTCTTGCACCTCCTGATCCCGATATAGTGTTGTCTGTCACACAGACAGCCTTCAACATGGAAATCAAACAGGCGGTCGACTCTTGTCCGTCCTACTCAGCCCCGGGTCCAGACGGTTTCCCAACCGCTTTTTACAAAAAATTCTGGCACCACATTGGTTAGGACACGTGTGAATTTATTCACACTAATTTCGCTAATGGTCATTTCAGGTCTAGTCTCGGATTCTCGTATCTATGCCTAATTCCAAAGATTGCCACGCCACTAACAATTAAGGACTACAGACCTATCAGCCTATGCAATGTCGTCTACAAGTTCGTGACTAAGGTTATTCTATATCGACTGAGATCAATACTAGTCAAATGCATAAGCCCGGAGCAATCCGCTTTTCTCCCTGGCAAAGAAACTTCCAACAATGCCATCGTCCTCCATGAGGTGCTTCATAAATTTAATCAACGACAGCGGGGCTGTGAGTTCGTCATCAAAATTGATTTAGACAAGGCTTATAACCGGGTGAAGTGGAAATACCTTCGTGAATCGCTAACTCAAATGGGACTGGATACCCCCTCAGTTACTCTTATCATGGAGTGTGTGACATCCGCTCACTTCGCTATCCTATGGAATGGCCGGCCATCTTTAGATATCTACCCTTCCTGGGGTCTCCGCCAAGGGGATCCAATTTCCCCTTACTTGTTCGTGATCATCATGGAGCGCCTCACTAGAATCATCAATCGGGAGGTCAGTACGGGAAATTGGGATCCAATACTGCTGTCTAGGGGAGGTCCGGCGCTAAGTCATCTCTTATTCGCTGACGATGTTCTGATTATGGCTCAAGCTAATATTGCCACTGCCAAAATTGTCAATAACGTTCTTCATGCTTTTGCTGACGAAGCGGATCTTACGATTAACTTGAGTAAGTCCCAAAACATTTTCTCAGCGTCAACCTCAGAAGCGGCTCGTAATCGAATATGCCACCAGCTATCCATTCCACCGACTGACGCCTTTGATAAATATTTGGGCTTCCTCATTATTGCTGGTAGGCGTAAGGTATCCCAATTTGAATTTATCATAGAGCGCATCTCTGGGCAGCTACCCCCGTGGTGCGCTAAATTCCTAAACAAGGCGGCCCGGACTACTTTAGCGCGTTCGGTTCTCTCCACTATACCAGTATACTTTATGCAAATAGCGTGGTTTCCGGAGAAAATTTGCCAGCAAATGGACACATCATTAAGCGATTTATTTGGAAAGACCGCGATGGACGGGGTCTACACCTCGTCAATTGGAAAACTGTGGCCATGCCTTGTCGCTCGGGAGGTCTTGGCCTTCGTCAAACACGGCAATGAATATAGCTATGTTAGGGAAAAAAGTTAGCGAATACATTGAAGGCACTTCATCCCTTTTGGTAGAAGTTTTGTCTGCCCGATTTGGCAGGGGGTACGAGGGGATCAAAAGGTCCAAGATTCAGTCTTCTTCTGTCTGGACAACAATGAGGAGGTTGTTTTTCATCATAGAGAGTGGTTTCACTTACATGATGGGTAATGGGGAGACCAATTTCTGGGAGGCAATTTATCTTCAAGGCAAACCCATCAAATGCCTTGTTGATTATGTGCATATATCTGACTCTGACGAATTTTGTCATCAGATGATTGTTAATGGGAGGTTTGATATTCAGTCGTTGCACACGACTTTCCCAGCACATATTACTAAGGCCCTGAAGGACATTCGGAATCTCTATCTTCACCCTTCAGTGCCAGACATGTGGTGCTGGTCTGATGGTAGTAAAGGGACATATTCAGTGGCGTCTTGTTATGAGTGGCTGCTAAAACATGGTGCTAACCCGAATACGTCATCGTGGAAAAGGATTTGGAAGCCCGACGTTCCAGAGAAAATTAATATCTTCTGTTAGCTTTTTGGACATCGTGCGCTACCTACAAAGGAGTTATGCCACCGACGGCATCTTGAAACAACGGGTGCTTGCACGATTTGTGGAGATGGAACGGAGACCTAGGTGCACATGTTCTTCGAGTGCTCGTGGACTACTCAGGTTTGGGCCAGGTTAGTTCATTGCGGATTTCCCTATCGACTGGCCCATACAATTCCCTGTGACATCCAAGTTCTGGAATTCATCGTCCATGCGCCGACGGTTATGCGATTTGCCTTTTGGTTTATTTGGCTGGAATGGAATAACAGGGTGTTCGGAAATTCTCCTAATGCTCTCTTTGTTGTAGTCAAGGAAATACTATCGTTCTTCCAATGGTGGAAGACGACATGGACGCGGGCAGATAGGCTCATGGATGGTTCAATCATGATAGTATTCCGAAAACTGTAACATGGAACCCTTTTCTTTGTACGGGCATGATCTTGCACACTAACAGTTCGTCCATGGGTAATCCAGGTCCATCCGGCTTTGGAGCTGTCCTACGCAATCACGAGGGGGTGTGGATCGAGGGCAATTCAGGAAACATAGGTATCACAGACAATACTCTGGCCAAGGTGATTGCAATTCTCGAAGGGTTATCTTTAGCAATGGCTCGGCAGTGTACAGCTCTTACCTGTTACTCAGAATCGCAAGAGGCTCTCCGATTGGTTAACACGACATCCGTAACAAATCATGTTATGGGGGGACTGATCATGAACATCAGGGACAAGATTAGTTCGATTGAGAATATACGGTTTTTCCACCTCTGGAGAGAGAGAAATTCCGTTGCAGATCTCTTGGCAAGGAGAGGAGCCAAGGAGGAAGCTTTCTTCACTACTTGGGCTTTTCCCCCGGACGATTTACTCACACCGTTGGCTAAGGACGCACCTATGTTTCCTTACACGCGCTTATAGCCTTTTCTGTAGTTTCTTGATGCACTTTTCGTTGTTTTTTTTTCTTTCTTTCTTTCTTTCTTTCAGTTAGCTTGTATCAACATTGCCGTTCTATTCCAAAAAAACAATTGCTAAATAATTGTAAGAATATTAAATAAAAAATTAATTTGCACATAAACATAACCTAAATAAAAAATTAAATAAATACTACCTATTAAATACAACCCATCACAATTTCTACCCCTATCCATCGCCCCTCCTCATTGAGATCCCAAATCTCTTCCTTGGCACCAACCCTCGCCGCTGCCCACGTCGCCCTCAAGTAGGACACAAAGTTCAACCGTTTCAAGAATTTCGACATGACGCTCGGCCACCCGCCAATCGACCACCACCACTACGACTTATTCAACGTGAGAAGCTGGAAAAACTCGATTTCGAGTACCCAGAAAAGGACAATCGAACTTGAGCTCCACGCTTTCGCGAAATATGTCGTGCGTTGGGTTTTCGAGAGGTCTTAGAAGCACAAAGTTGATCTAATGAGGGCTGGGGTTTTCGGCTCAGTCTGTTGTCTCCGCTTGTCGTCTCCACACAGACGCTATCGATGTCTCCGATCTGCCGCTGGCTGCCATCACGAAAAACTCGAGACGACAAAGTTTCTGAGTCATGGGTGTCGTGGGTTTGTGCAGGGGCTGGTGCAGCTTGGCTTGGCCGGCGAGGGGGATGACGTAGGAGTTTGAGGATCTTACTCGGGAGATTTGTAGAGTTTGGACATGAATTTGGGGGTTTATTTGAAAAGTTGAGGGTGTATATTTTATGCGAATTTTGGATTTCAATGTTTATTGGACAATTATTAATAGTTTATATTTGATATATGAACACAACTTTTTAGTCATGTGACAAGATTTGATAATATAAACCTGCAATAAATTACAAATAAACTATATATAAACTTAAAAGAGACAATAGTTTGTAATTTTACAATAAAAAAGTATATTTTATGTATATGTGCAATGTTTTTAAAAAGGTTAGATTTAGTTAAAATGTTTCAAAAATTTTAGCATGTATATAATTTAACCCACCCATTACCAAAATTAGTTTTATTTGCGAATAAATGAGCTCTAATTTATATTTGCATAGGGATGGAGTTTGAATTTAAAATATGAAAAATGGCTTCTCACTTGCTCCAATGGTATAATTTCTCATTAATTTCTTAATTAGTAAGGTGGGTGATTTAAGGTAAGATGTCTTATTTAATGAGATATTTGTTTTATCACAATTAATACGCCTCTCTCTTCATAACTAGTATGCACCTTACGATGCACGAGATAACAAAATCTTTTGAAAAAAATATTATGGTTATAATGCAGGGAATTATTATTGAAAATAGTTTAATAAAAGTAAATATCGTGTTAATATTAATGTTGAATATTGGACAACATGAATATGGTTTACTCAGCGACCACTTAAACATTGAGTTCGGCCTCAAATCCGAATAAGCCGACACCAACAACGTCTTCTGGTGGCACGACTCCATGTTTTTGAACTCGCTTATTGAAACGAGCGACAAAGACCTTCAGACTCGCCTCGGCCCCTTCTACGATGTTAGTGATGGATTCTTTCGAGATCATGCAGACTTGAGACCTGATAAAGTAAGATAGGACGTCCACCTCAACTGCCTCCAAGTTGAGATGGAGTGAGGGTATAGCGTGCGGTACGATCTCTAGGCTTTGGGCCCAAGGTTGAGCGTTAACATACTTTATATGCAGGCATCTCCGACCCCATGCAGATCCATCCACGATGTATAAAGTCTGAGGTGTGAGTCTAGGTCGGAGCTTCCATTGTAGAACCCGATCTGGGTATCTTGATTTTTTCTAGTAGGGGCCTGCGCAGGACGTCGGATGACAGCGGAGAGGTCGTGTTGACAACGTGGTCGCTCGAAAACAGGGGATTGGTGAAGATACTCTTTCTCCATACTTCTGTCGAGCTTCAAAATCAAAATTCATTTTCCTAAAGGCTACGACCTCGTCAGAATCGCGTTTGGTTGATCGGTCTGACAGTCACTTTAGATTTTTTGTCTGACATCCTGGCCAGCATCCTTCTCTCCCAACCGGGTGAAAACTGAAGGGTTAGGGGATCTTTTCTTGTGTTTTGTGACCGATATACTCTTCCCGGTCTCCTCTGTCTGAGCTTAGTGTATGGTTTTCTCCCTCCAGTTTTTTGTCACATCATCTGGAGATTGGGTCACAACTTTAGACTGAGTCGATCCCTTGCCCTTATCTCCGGCGGGATTTGTGTCTTTTTTCGTCGGCATTTAGAGCAAGTCAATCAACAACGGCGGCGGTGCGTGTGAAGCTGATGGCAGGACTCGAGCCATAAGGTTTGCCATTTCTTTAAGAATTTTTGTGTCTTGGAACATCGATGTAAAGTCGATGGTGGGAGCCGCTGTGCGTGGTTGCTCCATCGTTTGTGGCTGAGATTTTCTTTCTTAGCTTGATGAAAACATTGTTTTCGTGGACGTGTGGTGTCAATACTGGTCAAGGTTACTCCAAAACAGGTGATGGAATCCTTTTTCTAGAACCTATCTATTGATATACGAACCACATACCAACGGTTTAGAGAAATTCCCTAAGTAAAAATATTTTAAGTATTAAATGAGGTAAGATGACCTGAATTTTATATAGTAAACAACTCGGGTTCTTATTACAACTTGAGAGTTATTTTTAGAGAGAGAATAATTATATTACAATAAATTAGAGGTATTATAGTGTAAAACTCACGGGCACGATTCACAATGTTAGCACGTTTTCATTTAATGCGATCTGAGGGCGCCATGCGGCTCTGCAGGATGCGTCCTCCACACCCAATTATCACCTTTCGACAATACGATGGACACGTGTCTTGTCCGCATTAAATGCGCTAGCAGAGGTCGGTCTCCACGAGCTTTTGATCGGCTTCTTGGATAACCAAGATGTTCACGGAACTTATTTTAATATCGGGCGGCTCAGTGGCGGACCTATATGTAGTTTTGGGGGGGCCATTGTCCCCTCCCCCCTCCCCCCAAGATTTGTAATTTTTAGTATATATATATGATAAATATATAATTTTTCACATAAACTTACACAATTATATTAAAATAGTAATTGTATTACTCTTTTTACTAATTCAACTACAATTATACTCTTCTTACACTTTTGTATAAATTTTTTTCTAATTTAAATAAATTGAATGTAGTAAATATGTGAAAAAATAAAAATTGATAATTTTTTAAAAGGAAGACCATATAAGATATGCTTGCTATGTTTGGTAAAACTAGATGATAAGCTAGCTGGTAGCTTATACGTAATTTTCGAGCTTAACTTATAGCTTATGACTTATAGTTGAAAAGCTAGCTTATATGATAAAAGTGTTTGGTAAAATTGGCTAATAAGCTAACTGAAATAAAAAATTCAACTAGTTTATTTGAAAGACGAAGCTTATGAGATAAGCTCGAGCGTTTTAAAAAAACTCGCCCTACCAAACAATGCTTATTTGAATACAGAAAACTTATAAGCTAACCAAATAAGCTATAAGCTAACTTATTTGACTACCAAACATAGCCTAAATGGAAAGAAAAAAATATCACACTATTAGTATGTAGTCAATCATTAAAGAAATTCATGAGTTGAGAGAGCGATAAATGTAAATTTGTTAATTTCAACGTTTAAAACTTTATAATTTATATTGCACCATTATCATGTAAAATTTCAATAATACAACTTTCTATATTTTTTATGTACATTAAATTAAATTTAAGATTATTAAAAAATGTATTGTCCCCCCCAAAAAAATATTCTGGATCCGCCCATGGGGCTGCTTATTTTTCATTGTTTTATCTTCAAGGTCGTAGGTCGACCATGGGATAGGAAAGTCAGGTCCTTTGCTTAGACCCTCGTTTCATACCGAGTTGGTCATCATATGATCGGCAAGTCAGACCAGTCTATTCTCTCCACACTCTTAGGCCGCGTGGACATTATTTATGCCATGTGTCGGTTGATTAAAGGGTCAGCAGTTCGGATCAACAGTACCATATTATGAAAATGTATAAGATGTTGTTTTGTATCATATTTATGCACCAAAGGATAAACCCAAGTTGTTCTACTATAGTCATCAACTATTGAAAAAAATATTTGAAGCCTGAGATAGAAGGTATTGAACAAGGCCCCCATACATCACAGTGAATTAAGTCAAAAAGGTTTTCAGATGTAGATTCACTGCGACGAATTGGTAGCCTTTTTTGTTAAGAAAAATGGCAAACATCACAGGGTAATGAAGTGACATGTCTACTTAATGTTTTGCACATAAGAAGTTGAGAAAGTTTGTTGAATGACAAATGACACAATGTAGATGAACCAGTAGTGGATGAAGCAACATTTACAGGTAAATGGAAAGATGCATTTTCAGCAGCATCAAAAGTATTATCAACATATAATTCAATATGTACATTTGTTTTTTTGAAGGCTGTTAAAAGATAGGTATTAGAGGACGTCTTTGAGTTCACCAGAACCAATCATTTGATTAATTTTGTTGTCCTATAAAATGCATTGAGAAGACAGGATGAATTGTATGATGCAGTTGTTTGTGCTTACCAATTTTCAGACAGAGATAAGGTTACTTTTAAAGTTAGGAACATATAGAGATATCACGTAACACTAGCTTGTCAGATAAATAAATAAACAAAAATTATTAACATCACAAAAATATTTAAGTCTCATGACATGAATAACATATATTCCAGTAGCTACTAGAGTCGTCGGTATCATCCATGCTCTAAAATCCAAGTTGTCTTGATGGTTTCTACTCAACAAGAGCAAAACACTATATAAAAATTATTACATATTTCTCTAATTTATTTTCTTGTATGGTATTGTTCTCTTTCAAGATGCAAAAAGCATCATATTTTACTAGTTCTTATAGAACTCAAAGTAAATACATATTTGAAACATAATTCTTATAACTCCATACTTAATAGAGATGATGGTTAGCACCATCAACATTAAACAGATGTTTTTTTTANTAAGGCCGAACCCCCAACCTGTATATAAATATCCCCTAAATGTGCTGAAAAGTCACAAAGCTACAAGTCCAATGTCTGATATACATCAAGTCAAATGAAAAATAAAATAAAAAATAAAAAACAAAAGCAAGAAAAAATACAAGAAAAAGCTGACAACGAAATACAAAGACAACAGATCCTGGTCCGGGGAGAGTCCCGGCGAAAGAGTCAGCATCACAGTGTGGTAGAGGTCCCAAAATGTAAGTCCGACTGTCCAAATCTAAACGATAGTTATCCAATCTGATCCATCCGTATAAGAGTGCTGAGGCGTAGAGGAATGTCGTCAGGCTGAAGAATACGTCTCTGTGTAGAGGAGGACCCTATGCCAGCAAGGTAATTCGCAAGTCGGTTCCCCTCACGGAAGATGTGTGAGATCCGATATCTAATCGATCGAAGTATGGCTCTAATACGCATGAGTGGGTGTTGAATCTGTCAAGTGCCCTGATGATCAGAGGTCAGGAGTGTGACGACAGCGGCAGCGTCCAACTCAATCCTATGAGACGATATCGAGGCAGCAATCTGGAGACCGATCTGGAGTGCCTGAATCTCTGCGTTATAGCTCGAGGATGCCCGAAATGATGCATGGAAAGCGGTAATGAGGGCACCACTGTGATTCCTAATCAGGCCCCCTCCTCCAACGACTCGAGTATGTCGGTCAAAAGCTCCGTCGGTGTTTAGCTTAACCAACATTAAACGGATGTTACCTATTTATTAATGCAAGATAAGATCAATGTGCTAAGATAAGAGCATTTGATGTTAACCAACACAGCGAGTCAAACATTGCCCCAATCTTTGACTGGTGTCATCACGCAGAGTGACAGCTCACCACTTGATTTGTAAAAGGATAAATAAGAACGCATAATCCGCACTTATCCACACAAACCAAAATCAAAGCATTGTAAATCAGATGGAAGAAGAATCAGAATTAAGAGAATTAAAAAGGAAGAGTATAGAGGCGGCCCACAACGTCCACATCCTCGGGTCCGGCGACACCACCGTCGTCCTCGGCCACGGGTTCGGTACCGACCAGTCAGTGTGGAAGTTCTTGGTGCCCGACCTGGTGGACGACAATCGGGTCTTGCTCTACGACAACATGGGCGCCGGCACCACCAACCCCGAGTCCTTCGACTTTCAGCGCTACTCCACTCTCGAGGGCTACGCGCACGACCTCATCCTCATCCTCGACGAATTCAACGTCCGCAGCTGCATCTTCGTCGGCCACTCTCTCTCCGCCATGACTGGCGCCATCGCCTCCGTCTTGCGCCCCGACCTCTTCAAAAAGATCATCATGCTCTCCGCTTCCCCAAGGTACCTACTACCTAATTAATTAATCAATTTAATTCTGGAATTGAATAATTAATAAATAATAGTTTAATTGGTTAATTAATCAATCAATCAATTAATTAATTAATTATATGTATGTATAGGTTCCTCAACACGGGGGACTATTTCGGTGGATTTGAGCCGGCGGACATTGAGCAGCTGGCAGGGGCGATCGAGACCAACTACAAGGCGTGGGTGTTGGGATTCGCGCCGCTGGTGGTTGCGGGGGACATGGAGTCGGTGGCGGTGCAGGAGTTCAGCCGGACGTTGTTCAACATGAGGCCAGACATAGCAGTGAGTGTTTTCCGTACTATCTTCTCATTCGACATCAGGGACTATCTCGGCCGGGTCACAGTCCCTTGCCACATCATCCAGAGCTCGAATGACATGGCGGTGCCGGTGTCGGTGGCGGAGTACATACGGCAGAGGGTGGGTGGGAGGTCAACCGTGGAGATCATACCCACCGAAGGCCACCTGCCGCAGCTCAGCGATCCTGTGGCTACCATCCCAGTTTTGGTTCGCCATATCGCAAGTGATATCGATCACGTGCTTGCCGGGGACGAGGGAGTGTAGGAGGCCGGAGGTCATGGGTTCGAATCCAAGTGGATAATGTTGTCCTGCCAGCACTTTTTAATGCATTTTACTTTTT